CTGTAGTCTTTATGGCTATAGTACTTCTTATGTTCAATTACCCGTGGGTTACCACTCAGATCATACCAATATGTTATTTTTAATCAGTGTAGTGCACTCAGACACTAAGCCCTTCATTAACAATGCAATTTTATGCAGGAACATGAGGGTCTTAGCTCAGGGGCATAATCGTTTGATTTTTTGTTCCTCGGAAAACCCGTAAATCACCGATTGTCATGTGGTATGAATTAGTGGCCATAGAACGAGCACGTCAGAACACAATTTATGAGATATTGCAAGCATGAAGGGTGAAGCTATTCGTGACTATGCGCAAGGTTGAATGCCGAAATTTTTGGGCGTTTTACAAGATGTGATACAATTTTTTTGCAAGATGTAAAACAAGGTATTGTACAAAACGAATTACAATTAGAAATACAGCATTCGAAATGACAGCTATCTCAAGGCCCAATTTACTGTATGTTTAATCGAGTTTTTGTCGGGGCCCATCTCGCTATTTTCATCTGATTTCGCACGAGAAGACGAAAAAGACTCTTCCTACTGCAGAATGCACTGCAAGTTTATCAGAGGGTTAGAAGTGAGGTATAACAAAGCACTAGCAGAGGGTGGGGCTTTAACCGCGTCACGACTGCTGAAGGTGTAGCAGTTGAGGTGTCGCCCCACACGTATCCTCTAATACAAAATCTCATCGCCGACTTTGAAGACGGCATGTTCTACGTCTGGTTCTTGTTTTGAGTCCTTGCTCGCGATGACGCAGCTTTGTATTGTTAACGAACAAGAGGGCGAGTGGATCAAGTTGGAAAAGTCCGTAGATCGACCAAATGGACGCTTTCTGTGGTTTTATAAGACACCTTTAAAGACCCCGAATTTGCTATCTGTACTTAAAACAGCAACTAATGCTATTGAGCGAGATCTGCGTCGCGGATGATGTGAAGATACTTTCCGATGACTTTAAGCGCTCAATGAGCTGATCGTGAGCGCTGAGTAAGGCTGCATGCGTGTCTAGAAGCTCTGCGGACGTATAGAACTGCTCGCCGACTGGCAAGTGAGGACTTTTCCGACTAGACGTGGTTGAACAAGAGTAAAGAAGTAGGCGAATGGATCGATGTCAAGGATCTATCTACCAATAAGTGAAGTGTGACGCAGATTGTGCACCAAAACGCGCCCGAAACCCGTGTGAAAATTCCGACGTGGCGCAAAAGATGTGACGAGATTTTGTCGCGTTCAATGTGTGGAAATCGCTTAGGTAAGCCCGGCCAACATACGAACGTGTACATGTCGCAGGCACACGCATTCGTACGCAAGCAAGCAAGTATGTGGGATGCCTATATTAAGGACTTGCAACTCATTGTGGAACAGTTTGACAAGTACATTTACGACTTTGACAAGCCACAGACGTACCTGCCACGATTGATTGTGTATTTTATTAAGAAGTTGTTGCTCGGCGCCTTCGACTACTTTAATATGTGCAAGGTACGGGGTATATGTATGTATGTATGTATGTATGTATGAATTTAACTACTTATATGTGTGACCATAACATACGGCTACGATGATCCATCTCGGTAGTTTAAGTTCAGTAAGAGCGGCATATAGCCTTGTTTTGTCCCGATTTACCACACCGCTTACATCTGTAAAACTTCCTTTCTTTCCCGCCAGACTCACCCTGTGACCTGATACGTCTTTTCTACGGGCATCCAGCTTGTCAAACATAAATTGCGGATATGAAATTAAGACCACGCATAAACACGTGGTACTCAGCAAAACCAAGCGTCTAAACTCTCGCTTGATACGCCGCAACATTTTAACAGTTACCTATCAGCTCGTGCGCAATCTTGGATATATCTACCGCTCCTAAGGTCATGATCAAATGGCGGCAGGAAATTTTGTGCTGCTTCCATGTTTAACATGAGCATGATGCTGTCTTGGTGTCAAAACGGTGTTGCTCCAGTTGATTGCTGAATCAAGAGACGAATGCTGCGTTATCAGAACTGAACATCACACCATATTCTGCAGCATATTTGACCTGTTTCAGCAACTTTAGTTCGGCCCGAGACGTAGATGTACGTCCCTCTTTCCTCCATAGCATGCCTAATTAAAATTGTCTGTCGGGCTCACCCACTATAATCTTTGTATAAGCCTTGAAGAAATTCGTACGGCATCACAAGCCGTGTCTTTGAGCGGAGACTCTTTGCTTGCTCACTCTCAACAAAGTTATCGTTTGCCATTTGTAAAGTGGAGTTGCGTCGCAGTGTATGTATGGTGTCCACTTATTTAGTGGTATCGCGTTTAGATAAAAAAAAAAGCAGCTGGGTTGATCACGCAGAATTTGTTCAACGCGATATCGCAATCTGATTGACGTGATGCAGCATTCGATTCCCACACAAATATCTCTCGGGTGACCAATAGTACTACCATTTTTGTCATTTCTCAAATGGCGTGTGCAGAAATATAAGACAAGTTAGAACGAAACTGCTGATAATTTGGCTGTTTCCGTACCTATAATGTGACGAATGCAGAACATGTTATATATGTCAAGATTTTCAGCGGCAAATACCAGGCTAGCTTTTCGGTCACTGATGACGGGAATAGTCGTCAGTGCGAAACCCTGATTTATAACACGGCATAAATACCACGAGTGATTGTCGTATTCTTCAACAGGGAGGAGCGCAATTGCAGCAATTCTGTTATTAAAACCTTCGTCGCGACTCGCCGATACGATATAAACCCCGAGATATTTGCGATATTCCATGTGAGCTGCATCAACACCAAAACCTGCTCGGTCACATGAAACCACTTCGATTTTAGCACAACAAATGCCCGGTGGAAGTGCCACTTCTCACCGCAACGATGCTCTGTAAGTATTTTGGGGTCTAGACCGTTCTATTCCAGCAGTGTAATTGGCAAAAGAGTATTTTTCGTTGAATATTATGAAACAGTCCTTCATTTATCGTGTCCTTGGCACAACACATCACGTGATAGGACGAAGTCGTCTTGGCTTGGTGACAAAGTTGACCTACTAAAATTATTGCGGACATGTACAGTTCTGCAGACAATGCACCACGGACTATAAAGGTGGTGACTAGTTGAGCCGTCGAAGGATTCCCTACACTAACGCAATTCTGGTAATCCAAATTTCCATTTGTCACATGTTAATCACCTGGGCCATATTCATTCGTGCGCGCCAATCAAAAATGCCATTCGCAGCCCGAGCTCGAGCTGATTCACTGTAATTAACAACATGCTCCACATATCGTAGACACGAAAGCGCATTATCGTTGCGCGAGTGCAATATCGTTGTGTGCTTGGACAGCTGACTTTCCCGCGGTCTACCTTTTTGTCTTCAAGTTTTCCAGTAATTCTTTGAAGCGGAGCTTCTTAGCGCTCCTAGCAGAGGAAGTCTTAGAATCAGAGAGTCTTCTAGTTGTAATAAACTAACAATGACGCACAGTCGTTAAAGCGTACAAGCTTAACAATCCCGGTCCCAAAGGGTTACGATTCACAGAATCACACACTGACTAGAGACTACTAGTTAAATAAGAGTGAACGCCTTTTCAAAGCTAACACTATTACAGCACACTACGCCTTGACGAGGCACTTGTGTCCAACGATTTAAAAGGGAAACTGAGCTTTATTTATTTTTTTAACTACGGTAATAAAATCATAATACCTTGTCTGACTGACTTCTCAACTGCGATCTTATGACAGAAGTCTAATCCCTCATCCTTTTCGATAAGGTGCGGTATTACCGTTAGCACGCGGTACCAAGATTGTGCCACTCAGATCCACCGATCTTTAATTAGTGTGAACACACAGCACAACCAGTTCAATAACCGCGTGTTACCCTGTTACATTCTATTTTATGTCAATGCAGGAATGAGCAATTTAAATTAGGAGCGTGAGTGCTAAAAGGAGGCATTTGCTTGATTCGCGACAACGTTTCAAAATCGACTCGAGATCGTGATATATATCGTCAGATCGAGATAGCCAGCTACAGATTGTTTAAACCTTAAACCACTAGCATTGCTTGCGATGCAAAACACTGTCATAATTAGCCGTGAAACGTGATAAATAGCTCCAGATCGAGAAAAATAGCATTAGTCTGTTGCAAAATAGCTTCAGATCTTTGCATAAATCGCTTCAGATCGTGGTAATTTAAATAAATATCTTCTCTTTTAAAATACCTTGGATCACATCTTGCACAAATTTTGTTTCACGTCTTTCAAAAAAATCTAATGTTTAAATCGTACTCATCTGTGTGTGTGCCTGTCTGTCTGTCTGTCTGTAATTATCGCGGTTAGGTGTAGCTTGACCGTACCAAGTGCGACGTAGCCCAGGTATAGGTCAATCCGAAGACACTCTTTGGCCAGGACACTATCAAGACGCACGAATGTGATTGGCTTAAAATCGATTAATGGTGAATTTAATCACGTAAGCAATCGCCGGATGCTGATAAGCAAAGACCGATCACGTAGCCCCAGTACACTGTACTCGGCGAAGTCAGACAGTACCCGCATCATACTCCTTCTTCAGTGCACGCAGTTACTTGGACATACCGGTACGCACCAGCACAATCCCAAGCAGAAAAAGCTGAAGCATTGAGCACTCCTCGAGACCACCAGCTCTTTCTTTACCCGCACGTACCCATCACTGCACCACATCACGCATGAGCTGACAATGAACACAAGGACATAATCACTCTGGATCTTCCTCGACGCTCAAAACCAGTCAGTCATACTCGCCCCCATCGATCGGTCAAGCAAAGCTGTTGACAATCGATCGTCAACATCGTCCGTACCCGCCTTTTCGCACATAGGCGGCCGCCTCGACCCGCGCCACCCAATTGCGCAAACACTCACTCCCCTTGTCCGCCATGACGTCACTTACACCCCCTCACCTCCTTCAGTTTCGAATTTGCACACCACCGCCCACGTGTCAACAGCAGCAGCAGCAGCAGCAGCAGCAAATCCTTCAACCCGCCTCCAACCTGCAGCAGTAGCACCATGGCCACCCCGTCGCCCCCCCGCATGAACGTGATCGAAAAGATCCTGTGCCACCACGCCGTGGGCCTCACCGCACCCCACGTCCGCGTGGGTGACGTGCTCTGCGTCAAGGCCGACTGGACCATCGCCAGTGAACTGACGTTCCAGACGATGGACACGATGCACGCGGCGATCGGGCGCCCGCCGCTGCATCGGCCCGACCGGTTCTGGCTCGCGTTGGACCACACGGTGGACCCGCGCGTGAACCACTTGCCCAAGCAGAAGGCGCTCATTGAAATGTCCACCGCTTTCGCCAAAACGCACGGCGTCACGGACTTCCAGCCGGCGAACACGACGATCATGCACACGGAGTTTGCGCGCAAGCGCGCGCAGCCGGGACAGATCATCATTGGCGCCGACTCCCACACGTGCAGCGCCGGGGGCATGGGCGCCTTTGCGGCGGGACTCGGGGCCGGCGACGTCGTCATGCCGCTTGTCACGGGGCAGACGTGGTTCAAAGTGCCCGAGGTGTGCTACATTGAGTTCGTCGGGGCCCCGCACTTTGGCATTGGCGGGAAAGACGTGATCTTGCACATCCTGGGCGAGCTCAAGCGCAACACCGTCGCCTTCGAGCGTGCCGTGTACTACGGCGGCTCAGGCCTCAAGTTCCTCTCGGACGACGCCCGCTTTGCTGTGGCCAACATGAGCACGGAGTTTGGCGGCATTGCCGGCGTCTTCCAAGCGGATGCCATTACGCAGCGCGTGCTCACGGGACGGGACTCGCACTTTGACGAGGCGCTGTTCTTTGAACCGGACGAAGGATGCACTTATGCTGCTCACCATGTGATCAACTTGGCGGACGTCAAGCCGTTGATTGCCTTGTACCCGTCCCCGGACAATTGTGTGAGTGTCCACGAGAAGGTCGGCATGAAGCTCGACGGCTGTTTCATTGGCGCGTGTACGACCACGCAAGAAGATTTGATCCTGGGCGCTATGGTCTTGCAGCAGGCGATGCTGGATGGCAAGCGGCCGTCGACGACGGGCAACCGTCGCGTCACTCCGGGCAGTCTCGAGATCATTGCGAAACTCAAGGAACTGGGACTGCTGCGCATTTATGAGGAGGCGGGGTTCACGGTTGGTGTCCCGGGCTGCAGTTTCTGCGTCGGAATCGGGGCAGATGTGGCTGGAGAAGGAGAGGTGTGGCTCTCGAGTCAAAACCGCAACTTTCGCAACCGTATGGGCCGCGGATCGATTGGGAACTTGAGCTCGGCGGCTGTCGTGGCTGCCTCGAGCTTTGACATGGAGGTCGTGGACCCGCAGCCGTACTTGGACAGCCTGAACAAGGAAGACTTTGACCGCTACCGGAACTGGGTCCAGCCCGATACCTCGACGCCGTCACCGGCCAAGGCCACCAAAGCGTACAAGGTGGCTGAGCCTCAGCCTGTGCTAGTTACTGGAGAAGATGGCGAGAGCAAGCAGCAAGCAAAGGAGCAGGCTGCCGTTGCCGAACTGGAAGCTGCTCTGCCGCCCAAGTTTAGCGGTAAAGTGCAGCACTTTGGTGACAACATCGACACGGACGCTATGATCCCGGCTCAGTTCATGGGATTGAACAAGTCGTCGCCGTTGTGGCCTGCGGAGTGTGAGACGGAGCTGGACGTGCTCGCTGCCAAGTCGTTCGCTTATGTGCGTCCCGAGTTCCCGCAGAAGGTCAAGGAAGGCTATAACATTGTTGTGGCTGGCACGGCTTTTGGTAGCGGGTCGTCTCGTGAAGAGGCTGCGATTTGCCTCAAAGCTGTGGGTGTGCAAGCCGTGATTGCCAAGTCGTTTGCTTACATCTACGCGCGCAACCAGCCGAACAATGCTCTTTTGGGCATTGTCGTGACGGACGAAAAGTTCCACGAGCTCGCGCAAGAGGGCGAAGAAGTGACTGTCGATCTGCGCAATCGAGTCGTGAGTGTGAAGGACCACCAGGTGGCGTTCTCGCTGACGCAGCTTGAGGAAGCGTTTTTGAACGGTGGTGGCTTGCAGGCGCTATTCAAGCAGCACAAGGCCGACCTGTTCCGGGCTGCTATGCGTGGCAAGGCTGCTAAGCCAATCTCGTCGAGTGGTGTCGGCTGTGGTGATGAGTGTGAAAGTGAGGCGGCAGCATCCACTCCTTCGTGGTAAGTCGCTGGTGGAAGCACTAGAAGGTGGAGAAATGGTAATGGAGCTGGACAGATGTGCGCATTTGCTCGCACGAGACTTTCATCAAGCTGTTGGTTGGCCTCATGCTTCATATAGATCGATGGCTTTTTTTATGTTTACATAAACTTGCAATCGCTTACAAGAGGTGCATTGTTACTAGGTGTTTCGACTGTATCACGTTGTGTGACTTGAACTTGCCAAACTGCTACAGCTTTTACTCTACACAACGCTGATGTCGCCTGCAGCAAGCTCGGTGTCTACGTGGCATTATGGGTAATCTATTTTTGGAAATCTAAAAAATCACGATTTGGAATCTATTAATCAGTGGACTGACCCACGGATGTCGCCCTTCACCCACAGAATCTTCCCATCGTATCCGTTTTATCAATGTGGCAAAGATTGACAGTATCCGCTGCTGCTTGTTTGTACACCACCGACTGTCACTGGCGCCAGACTAGACCGCGAACCCGCGTGCTATACGTCGACATCTGAAGGTCATGTGCTTGTGCCAAGTGTTGTGCAAAAGTGAGGTTGTCTACAAACATGTCTAGAGAGCTTGCAAGTGATCGCACTTCCTCAACACTCGTGCGAACTTAGTGGCTCCTGCTTTTTTTTGACCTTGTAGAAAAGTGATTCAATCATCGCGTATGCGCTGACGGAACAGCACGTGTATTTTAGGGCAGCTGCTCAACGGCTGGGTTTATTTTTGATTCGGCTGGGTCATTCTAATTCGTTATTAGAAGTAGCTCAGAAGTGTGCCCAATTTTTTTTATCAGGAGTATATTCCAATACTCAATCCACTATGACTCTTTTTTTACTCACTTGCCCGTGCAAAGTAGCACGAGGCGCACGCAAGTGCATCTCAGCTTTAGTGTCCCAACTTATGGAACTGTGCGAGTATTTTTCTACGTAGCTGTGCACCACCATCTTCTACGTGCTGCGTCCCAAATCCTTCGCGGTCCGATGTGCGTGCAAACTCCACTCCATCTTCGTCTGGGTCACTACGTAAGACAAAATGTACGAGTTAAGCACTCGGCTGCATCTCACGAGTATCCAAACAAGCTCACAAACCGGGCATCACGCGTCGCATCTCTTTGAACGTCTCCTCGGACATGTTAATGTACATGTCTTCGAGGTTCATCTGCAAATCATCCTCTGCCTCTTTCATGATACGCAAAATCGCGTCACCCAAACTGCCTGGGTGTTGAGTCGTGATCTCCGCTTCAACGTCCTTAGAGCTCTGCAACTGTAAGTTTCCATTCTCAAAGTAGTGCACATGCAGCTCAATGGTACCCTTTACCACGCCCGGATCGGCAGTCAGGTCCACTTCCCAACGCGACTTCCACCGTCCTCCCCAAAAGTTGCGTAAGTTGACCCGCTCCGTACACAAATTCACCACCAGCTTCGTGCCCACCACATACACACCAGCAGTTCCCCTTGATTTCACAAAAGCTTCAGAAGGTATGTAGTATAACATTTTACCTCTTTCTAACCCCGTACCCGTGCATGTACTCGAACCCCAGATACGACTGCAGAGTCTTTTGAACAGCTTGGCTGGTTCCACACATCATTTAAATAAGTACTTCCGACTCCTGTCACAAAAGTATAAGTTTCCACAAGTTTCCTCACCGTGCTTCTTCAAAGTCCGTGACCATCGATTCGGGTATCTCCGCAACGTCTTCCGGCACAACAAGCTGCTTCATGTGGTCAAACCCCAGCACACGGTTCCCGATAGGGTCCACATAATGCGTCGCATCGACTTCACCTTCTTCACAGATTAATACCTACAAACCACAAACAGCCGTTTGTCCACCCGTAAAACCTTTCACAATTTATCATCTATTTCAGTCCTAAAATACCACCACCCACCTTATAATCGGCATCCGGTACATCAACAGGAATGCAGTGTTTCACGTTATACGCTCGCAGAGCGAAGCGCAGTGCGTCATCAGAGAGCACATGGGGAGGCGTAATCTTTGATACATCATGCAGCACTTCGTGCGCTTGACCTGGAGGACTTGCGAGTATGAACCGCTGTGCAATCTGCAGCTTTTCCTCGTCCGTAGCTTCCTCGTAAACCCACTCTTCCGCCATGATACCCCCTCGTTTTATTATCCGGATACCTCACACGATCACAAGTTCTTTAACCTCTGTAACCTGATTTCCTGGACTATATAATTTGTTGCAATACCTCTGCAATCACATCTATTGTTGTCCGACCATGGAGACACCGAGTGTCCGTGTGCTGGTCGTTGGCGATTCGGGCGTGGGCAAGACAACGCTCTTGCGAGCCCTCTGCCGCTCGCAGTCGCCCGGTCATTCCAGCGCTCTTGAGAAGCCCCCGACTGGGTGGACCACTGGATGTGACGTCCACGTGCTGCTCCAGGCATTGGGACCCGACGGTCGCGAGGTTTTTGTGGAGTTCCTCGACGTGGGCGGGCACCGACAATACGAACGCAGTCGCCGCGCGTTCTACGTGGACGTCCACGGCGTCATGTTTGTCCACGACCTGAGCAACGTCAAGAGCGGCGACCGCCTTTGCCACTGGAGCAGGGAGTTGCGCACGGTCCAACGACTGAAAGGCTGCGTCGTGCCGTTGCCGAGCGGTCACGGCAAGCAGCAGGACGCGTCGACGTTGCACGAGTTGCCGAAACTCGTGGTGGGTAGTAAGCGAGACTTGGTGACGGCAACGAGCGGGGCGAGAACGAAGGGGCCAATGGCGGTTGCCGACTTTCGCACCGCTTTGTGCATGGAATCGGTGAGAGCTCTTTTCATTTCGAGGACCGAGGACTTCTGAATAGGTACAGTCACTGACTGGCTACTGCTTGTGTGTTTGTGTGCATTGTGGAGAGTGCGAAGGAGCGTTTGAGTGTGGAGCCAAGTGCGGTCTTTGCTACGTTTCTACGACGCGCACTGGCATTTGCCAATCGAAAACACGGTGACTCGAGTCTCCGGAGCTGCGACAACAGCAGCAGTTTCGGGCTTCGGCAACTAGTTAGCCGCAGTCCCACCGACGAGGAGGACAAGAGATTGAAGAGTGGGAACGCGTCCAGTAGTGCGGCACAAGTGCCGCCGCTATTGTCCAGTGAGTCCCACTCGAATTGGTGGTAGAGAATAAAGAACCACGCGGCCCGTGTGTCCTTTCAACATGTGTACGTACCCAATCTGCAACCGACGGTCTAGTTCCAATAGCCCGACAGCGTCCAGACTCGACACAAGGGCTCAAAATTCCACCGAACCCCGACTCGTGAACGAGTCGTTGTCTCTTCTAGCCACGTTTCTATAAGCCGCAGACGATCCATTGCCGCTAGAAGGCGTCGCTCTCTCCCGTCCATGGCTTTCTACGTCATTGCCCCGCCGTCCCGCACCGGCAGTTCGATCAGGAGACAAGATACTCCCTGGGGAAACGAGCCCCAACCGTCGTGACGACGGGACCGGAGCGAGCGGCTCCTGGGCAATCGACACTGATGCATCTTTTGTGCTTGTAACGGACGCGTCCGTCGTCCGCTCGTGCTTACCATCGCTCGAATCCATCGACCGCAAGGAATCGATTCGGTCTTGAAGCGTGCGGCTTGACACTCGCGACAAGGAGCCGTCGTCGTCTGTACCGCCACTTCCATCTGGGTGCAAGGCCTCAGGTCTCCTACTGTGCGGGTACCGAATGCTGCTCGTGGGAGCGGTACGACGGGAGCTTCTGCCGTCTCGACCGGAAGAATGGGGACGTTGGACGGGGTCTGGGTTGTACCATCTCGGAACTGCGGCGTTCGTATGCGGTCCTTGACCTGGGGTTTGACCCGCTGCTTGGCTGAGATGTTGCCCCTGACCCGGGGTAGATGGGTACGCAGGTTTCGCTTGTTGCCCCGGCAGTAATGGTACCTGCGAACGCGTACCCCGGTACCCATGTGCAGCCACTTTTGGTCCAGGTTTAGTCCGGTTTGACTGCAATGCATTTGTTACCTGCTTCGGGTACCCAGGTGCAGGAGAAGCGTACCCACGTCCAGACTCGGTCGTAGCAGCAACAGCGCTCCCTTGAGTCTGCAAAGGTCGCTGTTGCTGTTGCTGCTGGTATTGCTGTTGCTGTTGTAGTTGCTGTTGTAGTTGCTGCTGCTGTTGCTGTTGCAGTTGCCGTTGCTGTTGCAGTTGCCGTTGCTGCTGGTGTTGCCTTTGCTGTTGTTCTTGTTGTCGTTGCTGTTGCTGTTGTTCTTGTTGCAGTTGCAGTTGCTCTTGCGCAAGTACCCGACGGGTTCGTACTGTTGCCATCGCCTCTTCGTGACCTTTGCGCTTGGCGCGCTGCATGCACAGGCAGCAACAGACCAGGAATAGAAGGACGAGGAGGACCACGCAGCCAATCGCGATCCACCAGACCCAGTCATCCCATTGCAAGGCGCCTTTGAACGTCGACTGTCGACTCGCCATGGTGACCACTAACGGAGCAAGAGGCTTTTTTGTGCCGAGGGTGAACGAGTCAGACGGTCGAGGACCGAAAATTTCTGCGCCAGGTGTGACATGACGGAATTGCGACATGGAGTTTAGACTGTAAAGACAACATTGGGCGCATCTGATTCGTCTCTCCTTTTTCTATAGGAAACGTAAATGAGAATTTGCTCCGGACGAAAACAAACATATGAGTAGCGCATCAATGCGGTTTTCGTGATTTCCGGACCTAAAAGTGTGTCGTACAATTGACACTTTCTACCGAATATTTGAGAATATATTCGACATCATTTGACCTCTACAAAAAACTTTCAGAACTAGATGTGGCAGGCACTGAGCACGGTGTCTAAAACAGCATGACGAGTCGTCGCTCGTGCACTTAATACGCAGTTCGTATAGAGAAAGTCTTGGAAAGTCGGGTCATCACACATGTCGTCGTCACGCGTATTAATCAGAACGCCGTCGGACACCACGTGTGCAACAATCCTTTCATGGCTCTTTATTGAAGGCAGGCAGTTCTGTGAAGCCATGTGCTAGTCAAAAACTCGGCTCCTCCCACCTTTTTATGGTTCGAGAGTTGGCCGTGCGATCGCTACATAAATCGCACCGATACAATACTTACCGACGTGCCTCTTATGACGGGCCGCTCGATATGTCGTGAAGGTCCCTACGGTCTCTCTTGAGCTGTGACGGCGCGCCGCCACCCTCAAGTTCAAGATAGTCATATGTTCTGTACGATATGACACCTCTGAACAAACGGATTGTCGCTTTAACTGAACTGATGCTGGCAGATTAGAGTCAGACTTTACAACGACACATAGATGCAGAGACACGTCAGCCCTCGAGTGGTCCTTGCTCTGAAATCGATCAAGTTAAACAACTTGAGCATTACCACCGTATGACACATCAAGGGCATCTCATATATGCGCCAGCTGTGCACCGAGGGGTAGCAAGTGTAATTCTTTTTGCAACAGTCTACGGCACGCGTCAAGGCACGCTACTTAGCTAGCATTCTGCTGATACAAAGGTCGTCGTCGTCAATCAGTCTGCAACCCGTGGCTGGGCTTGGGTCGACGGACGTTGGTGTGAGTTTAGCGTCCCGGGCCGCAAGCCGCTTGTTGCCTCTGTAAAGCATAGTCAGTCAATAAATAGCTTGCTCGATGCGAACCACTGTAACACGTCGCATGGCACAAGACAACAAAATGTTTAACGCTTAAAACCGACAAGACCTTGAACACTGTGCGGTAGCGTAATGACTCGAACACGATATTTTAGATATTATTTGGAGCCATCGGCTGCCAACTTGAAGGGATGCGGGACCAGACTTGCAGTAGGTTGGCACTGGAGTTGCAGTCGCTTCGATGACATGCAAAGAATTGCGAGTCTGGATGCAAACAGTCTTGAGTATAAGCGTGCGTTTGCTCGTCACAACGAGTCTCCAGTCCATGCTGAGGACCACCGGCTCTTGACAGGTACTACTATTCAGCAGCTCAACTCGACTCGAGCTTCCTCATTCCGATACATAGATATTTATCACGTCACTGTCACCGCCTCGCCCGCCAACATCATCATGTGCATCAACTGCTTTGTCGTTGTGCCTTCTGCCGCTATTGCGAGTATGACCGCGAAAGATGCCAAAGCAGTTGAGCCAGTCGTCCCCTGACCAACGTCCGCGACATTACCAAGTATCGGCTCGGCGTTCCAGAGAATCAGTCGTTGAGGGCGCACCCAAGTTTGCGGCTATATAGAGAGAGTGGAAAATCTGGGTGGCTCTTTGGAAGTCGTGGCGTGCTTTGATCGCATCTCCCAACTTGCAAAAGGTATCGAGGATAAGGCCGCCAATGCCGAATCGATTCTGGAAGACCTGACCGAAGCCAAACTATTGGAGGATAGGTCTCGTGGTACAGATAGCATACCGAAGCAGTGACGCTTCAAAAATCACTAGTTTGTGATCCAGAGGAACCCTATGGGAAGGACGAGATGGTTCGAGCGCCTGAAAGTGCAAGCAGGAACGGGAGACTTTGAAGGGACGCGCATTAGGGACAGTGCAAGAAATGATGATCGCTCATTGAAGAACGACAAAGCGCAGTCCGGGCGACATTCTTCTTGGTTGGCTGGAAAAGGACAAGACGATCAATGATGAAGATCTCCTTTAACCTGCAGTCACTAAGGTCTTGTACGGGGCTAATCCTGATCCCATGATCGTGAACGAAGCCTTGTGGAACCACTTCGCCAAAGACGCCACCTGATTTTTCGCCGCGCTCTTGCAAGCAGAAGAGAACAAAACATCCGATGCTAGCACTCTTGATACCAGTTGGGAGTGACTGCTTGTAACGAAGCCTGGCTTCTTGAAGGAGTCTGAATATATCCGTGAATTGCTCGAGCCCTTATAGAAGGAAAGCAAGTTTGTGCCCGGCGAGACATTCCGACGTTTTGACTGGCTGACCCCTGCTGAGGTGGAGAAGATCGAAGATAATTTTACAAGTTGATCAGGGCTTTAGCTAAACATCGCTTCTTCAGGCACTGTACAGCGCGCGAGTTTGTAGCCTGGCGAACCTGACACTAAGTAGCAGACACACTCCATTCAGTAAAAACGATCTTCTTGGTCTATTTCTTCAATTGTGGTGGGTGAGCATGACCACATAGCAGAGCTAAATGGCATTTGCATACTACATTATTGGGTAGCGAGTTCCAATGAGTATTCAGCGGCTTTGTACGAGCCTTAACCGTTACTTTGTTGTCTCCTGCTGGGGTGCATCTACAGTCCATTTACTATGTCCAACTTTGCTATAACATGTCATCTATCGCGCCGCACGACTTGCTCCTTATCGAAGCACCTCTACTGTGACACAAATTTCCTCGAATGCAATTTTTCTAGCGGCGATACAAAGAAACGTTCGAGCGCATTCAATTTTGATGGACACAGAATTAGCAAATTGTTAAATCGGCACGAACCTGAGACCCACACCAAGAAACTAGGACTGATCGTAAAACCAGCACTGTCGTCTACATTCGTGTAGCCGATATTTTTCGATGCTTGTGGTGGGTCAGTGCTTTGAGTGACAATAGAAGGAGTGGTAGAAGAAAAGACAGCAGTAAGAAATCTCGTGAAAGGGAGGTGATCGATCTAGGCACGGTTCAGGCTGCCGCTGAACTGACTCAGGGGCAGGTGTCTCCTAGAGCAGCGATGCTGTCAAAAGACTGTTGTTACGATCACAATTTACAGTATGATGTGAACTAGATGACGGCAATAGACGTATGCGAGACCACAGGATCGATGCTCAGTCCAATTCAGACGTGGTCTACGAACGCCATTGCTGTAAGATTCTCTCATGTATGGGTACCACCGACTGTGGAGCTACGTATGAGGAGGAATAAGTGGAGGGAGTATTGGAATACTTACTACTCCACCGAACTGATCCGATTCGTCGATTAATAGTCTCGCCGACTTGGCCTCGTATTACAGATTGTTGCGAACCCGAAGGGCGAAGCTATTAGTGACTGTTCTCACGGTGTAAAATACCGAATTACAAACCTTTCTGTCTGTGCGTGCATGACGCTGGGTGTACCCTACGCGTCGTACTTAGTGCGATGTAGCCTGTCTCCAGTCTCTTCATCCAAAGTGCTTGGTTTACTCAAATAGCGATAGATTATGGTCACTTGACTCTCCTCTCGGTGGTAGATGAAGCTCCCTCAGTTTGATTCTCTTTTCACTAGTCCCTTACATGTTGTCGTCGCCTGCACTTTGTAATTGACGACGCTACCGAGCAGGATCCTCCTCCGCCTTGCTTCCTCCTATTCTGTTCCTTAAAATCAACAGTATTAATGAACAGCTCTAACGCACATCATCGGTCGGCTCTTGATTCATTCATTCACAGGCGCAGCACAACCCATTTCGTAGCTGCCAACCATCCGAAATGGGTACGTGAATATACAAAATTGGATCCAGTCCTCTGGACTGATTTACCTACATCGAAGGGCGAGCTCCTGAGCTTGCCCTTCTCCCTTCTTTTTATCAGTTGTAAGTTAACAGGTACAATCAAACAAAAAGAGACGTGGGCAACTATGACACCACGCAAAACAAAACTTGCATGTGCGTGGTGGTGGGGGTGCGTCGAACAGAAAGTAGCGTGTCACACACTACTTCCGATCACACGCTAATGATCCGTCCGCACGAAAAGCAGTCGACACTGAGCTTTGCATCCAGCGTACCATTTCGCCGGTACCATCCCCATCCACCGGCCCGGCCACCAACGCTTCTGAGCCATCCATTTCGACATTGTAATGACCGAAATGGCCGCAGAAATGCCCCACGCTGTTGCTACTGGAGGCAAGAAGGTCGATGCGTCGACAATCGCCGAGCCTTTCAGCTCTGCCGTGCGCCGATACATTGAGCATGACATGGCCGGAGTCGGTCCAAAGCTCGTCGGTCTGCTCGCACATGGCGATCCGGCCGCGAAGAAGTACGCCGCGTGGACGGGCAAAGCGTGTGCCCGCGACGGCATTCGCTACGAGTTGCGTGAAGTTCCGAAAGACGATCTGTTGGCGGCTCTGCAACAAGCCAATGAGGACCCGGACGTGCACGGGATTCTAGTGTATTACCCCTGCTTTGGCACATTTCCCAGCTTTTTCGGAGGCACGATGGACGACTTTTTACGCGATAGCATTAGTATTAAAAAAGACGTTGAAGGACTGGGTCAGTTCTATCGGGGCAATTTGTACCGGAATATTCGCTATGTGGATGACGAACAGACGCAAAAGTGCGTCCTGCCCTGTACGCCACTGGCGATTGTCAAGATCCTGGAGCATCTTGGCATTTACGACAAGACTCGAGAAAACACGGGCAATCAGCTGGAAGGGGTCAGCGTTACTGTGATCAATCGCAGTGACATTGTTGGTCGACCGCTGGCTGCGCTGCTTGCTAATGACGGCGCTGACGTCTATAGCGCCGACATTGACTCACTCTACTTGTTTCGTCGCGGGAAACTCATTCCAAGCGAAGAAACACCAGAGACAGCGTGCAAAAAGTCCCGAGTCATCATCACTGGCGTGCCGGTCAAGAGCTACAAGCTGCCACTGGAGTGGGTGAGCGAGAACACGGTTGTCATTAATGTCGCGTCGTTCAAGAATGTGGACGAAGCAGGACTGCTGCAAATCAAGGGTGTGCAGTACGTGCCGCTTGTGGGGAAAGTGACGGTGGCCATGCTGGAGCGCAACTTACTACGTCTGTATGAGAACTTCCACTGGAAACCTCGAAAGGTCTGGCAGTGAAAGTCCACGCATCGACAGTTGAAGCTAGGGCGTCTTTGCCACCGCCTTTCGCTAGGAATGCATGCTCTTTTGACGCGATGAGCATCGGTCTAGTGTGTTTTTCGTGCCATGAGTGCTGATTCGGACACTTCATTTGCTTCATCTCAAAACTGTTTTACCTGAAACGTACACAAGACCGCCACTCATGACCTCGACGAGGCTGAACTTTGGCGTGAACCTCATCTAAACTTAACTACAAAAAGTTTAAATGAGGTACACGCCAAAGCTCGTTAACTTATCTTTTCCAGTCAACAGCAGCGAAACGCCCTACCTGTATTCAGCTTCGAGTGTAAATCTTCACTTGTGTCAATGCTTTTATCCACCAGCAGCATGCTGGTGCATCTATTATTCCTCAACACCAGCAAAAAATTATGGTCTCTTACATTAGTTTGACGGATGGAGCAGACCCAGATGAGTGTAACGGTCATCGAAATGTCGTATTAGAGACTTCTACTCCCAAAAGCTGAGCTATTAAGTCGTAGCTTGGGTATTGAACACCGAAGCAAGATAATACGTTGCACCCTTGTAGCGTCAGCTACAAAAAGTATATGGCAACGATCGTTACTTGGAGCACGGCGTTTCCAAAAAATTGCAGTGTAATCTCCATATTTCTTGATCGAGATGGTGTTAAAGTGTGCGGAAAACTTACACGGGCGGCTGATCGTCTTTTTTTGATTCGACGATGTTTTTACATCTTACGAAAAAGATGTCTGTGCGAGGCTAGAGACCAAGATGTATGTTAATTATACCGCTGGAATAGATCTCTGTCCTTTGAATAAATTTGTCCATGTTCCTAAGCAAGTAAGGGGCGACCAAGATGCCCATTAAAGACATGGTCTATTACAGACCGTGAAGAGTGTCATTGCAAAGGTTTCACACGATCTGAACGAAAGCCGGGGCGACTAAAAAATGCAGGCGATATGCCTCGTTTCTGGTGTGTCCAGTCGAGTGCCTTGCTTCTGCATCAACGCATGCACCCACATGCGCTATCGGATATAGGCCGGAGACATTCGATGTGCATCGATAATATTCGCTGATCGTTGACTGACTCTAGTAGATCTTGATGTACACAAGCGCACACGCGACGGTGTGCAAGACGCCACTTGTGGCAGGTGTGTAGTGTGTACGTTTATGAATGAGGACAGGTTTTGGTCCATACAATAAGGTGGTGCAGCACATTACGGCCGAAACATGTAGTTGCAGCGTTTGCGCTGATCCAACGGGCAGGAGCAACCTAATGCCATCAAAATGAGTTACGCCTCGCTATAAACTGGCTACTGATAGCATGAAGACATCAGCATATGCAAGATGATCTAACTTCCGATTGATAGCTTCATGTGGACATGTACTGCTGAAATCTGACAGCTCGAAATTTGTTGAGTGTGTGCTCTAGTGGTCCTTTGTGAGGATGTGTAAACTCTGTGGCCAAACCTGATTTAGTGCTCAACAATCGGATCATTTAATTCTTGTTAAGAAGGACAAGATACATCACCTAGCGATACGCGCTGGCGAACGTGCTAGAGCTTTGAAAAACGTACAAGTGACATGTCGTGGAATGGATTGAGCAACCATTGACACACTAGCTCGATAGTTCGCACAGTATCACTTTGTGGTAGTTACTTGTACTCGAACAACCCTTCGCTGTCTATATACACGAACAATAATCACTGACTGTACGCGGCGTGCACATCGACTGTTGCTGCTCTTCGACGTTATCGACCGTCATAGATTCAGTTTATCAAACTAACAGGTTTAAACAAAATAGAGGAGCGACAATCACACATTATTGAGTCTGCTCTTTCGATCACATCGATCTAACCAGACAATCGCAATATCACACACGCTACTGCCGAGGATCCGGTCCATACAATCTCACATATAAAACCGACGTATCTTTGCCTGATATTTCCATCTGTCTCCGTGAATAACGAGCGGCTCAGCATCATCCTCACTTGTCAATTATCCGCCTCACTCCCCACTACTTAGACCATGAGCAAGAATCCAATTGCACCTCTTCGTTGGGGCTTCCTCGGCTGCGGCCGCATCTCATCCGACTTTGTCAATGCTATAAAGTCGCTCAAAGACATTAAATTTCAAGCTTGTGCCGCACGGTCCTTAGCCAGTGCCCAAGCGTTTGCGAATGAGCATCAGATCCATCGCGCTTACGGTTCCTATGAAGCCCTTGTCTCAGATTCTCTAGTAGATGTTGTGTACATTGGCACGCTCCACCCTTGGCACTATGAGCACACAATACTGGCTTTAAATCACGGGAAACACGTGCTAGTGGAAAAGCCCATGGCCATGAACGTGGCCCAAGCGTCGTCTGCTATAGCTCTGGCTCGAGCGAACCAGTTGTTCCTCGCTGAAGGAATGTGGACGCGGTTTTTCCCGGCGATCCGCCACGTTCGTCAACTTTTGACGGAGAACGTGATTGGGGATATCCATCATGTGCACGCGGCCTTTGGCGTTCAGTATGAACGTGATAACGTCCGGATGTGGCACAATGAGCTTGGAGGCGGAGGGCTCCTTGATATTGGCATTTACCCACTTGCGTTCGTTACGATGGTATTCGGTACGCAACCAGACAACATCATATCGGTTGGCAAGCTCAATGACGGACAAGTGGATACTTATAACTCCATCACGCTCGAGTACAGCAACTCTCGCTTCGCTACCATCCAGTACACGATGCTGGCTACACTGGATGAGACCGTCACTATCACGGGTAGTAAAGGACGCATTCACTTGCTTGCACACGCCCACACGGCAAATGAAGTGCACGTGATTAAGTACCAGCCGAATGGCGTGGATGAGGAGATCAAGTCCGTCTTTCCATGGCCAGTGTCGGCTCCAGGTGCCACGTTTAATTACGGAGGCTCCGAGGGGTTTCTCTACGAAGCCGAAGCTGTGATTAACGCGATACGAACCAAACAGCTCGAGACGGAGGAGTACCCACTTGATGAATCACTTCAGGTCATGACCATTATGGACAAGATCCGCGCCGACTTAGGTCTTGTCTACCCTGCGGACCTCGCGTAAACAGTTCTGAACCAAAGCACACTTCCGAAATCTGTTGGCGTCACTTTAAGTGGTGTCGCCATAGTGCTAGTGATTGCTGCATGCTCAGATAAGATGAAGTTGAAAACGCCAGAGCTTAAGCAGCAAGATAGTTTAGGCTTTGGCTTGTGTAATCAAATGCTTAAGGCCTTCTATAACTCCCTAGCACGCGCAGACCGTATATATCCAGGGTGATCAACGACTTTTACATAATTGAGTTCTCCAAATGTCACTGAGGTTGATTGCATTTTGTGTACCTGATGAATCAATCACCTCAGATCTGCCGGGCTTAATTTACATCAACCTTCAAGACATCCGATAGTTAGACACATCATAGCCAAAAGTGTGGACTCATCGAAGCAACAGGCGCAACATAAAGCTTAGGCGAGACAATTAACGGCATTATCGACCATCTTTTGCATCTGAATCAAATCATAAAGGTGCTGCACTCACGTTTAACACACTCGGCCGTCTGCGTAATCGAGAATGTCTAATCCATAGCAGTACTTTGTCACTATATTCCGTGGAAGATGGCGCCGAGCATTGATGCTCTGACGGCATATTTACCGTGGACAGACCGAATAAGAATGTCGGACTCGGTTTTGGACCGCAGTTATGGAACTCGTGGACGTATAGTCTGTGGCGATGCATGTGACTAGCAGATTTGCCAAGTTTGTAACCGTGATAACACGAGAGTCGATTTAATATTAGAGCCCGCGCTGTCTGCCCAGCCCACGCGAGCTAAGGATTTACATGGACGTGCTGAATGTTACATCACGAATCGAGATCGAAGGATATGCCAAAGTTAGAGCTAGTAGCCCGTGATATCACGGCAGAATCCGAAAGGTCATCGCAGAAAATATTGAACCGACGCCACCATCTTTCCATTGTCTGCGCACAACTTAGTGGCATGTTAAATGACTTGGAAATGGACAGTGAGTCAAGTATACGGCAAGTATGTATGGCAGTGCTGAAACGCTAACCTTCTATGTAAATAACGGCAAGTGTATAGTATCCAAATGAATTTATTAATTTGATGGAACAAATCAAAAGGTTTCGGGCGATTTATGACGCGGTTGGCAATGTAAACGTCATTCGGGAGTAAATTTAGAATATACACAAAGATCAACTCGTTTCAAAAAGGGCATCGCTTTACGAATCACATCCTACTGTGAATAGTTCCTCAGCCCATTTCAAATCAGCAATTTGATTTGAATCTAAGCAACGCCAACGAGTACATACCGCTAGCATCACTGGCTATTGCGATTCTCGTCGCTTAGTATAGCGTCAAAATTACTTACTGCTTGAACAGCAGTGGAAGGGTAGAAGTCAATGTAGATACATATTAGAAGGGTGGGGGACGTATAACAATAAATTTTAAAATGCTAGATGAGTTTTTGTGATCGCTTCGAAAGGTACTGGATTTTTCATTAGTCTGAACGGTATTGTACTACTGATGTATTCTCGGTTTCGGATTACTGTGAATTTAAAAAAACAGATTGAGGGTACCTGACCTATCGTTTACCTATTTTTACATAGATTTATATTACCTAGCTAGAAGAATAAACTCAGCACTTCACTGTAGTTATTTACAGAATCCTATACTTTAAACTACAGTAATAAAAGGTAATGTTTTGATCAGCTTATAAGCGATAGAGCTGCTACTTAAGCACCACCATATTATAAAACGATTACACGGATAATTGCATAATATTTGATTGATTATCTAAATGATGAAAAGAAAATGTATGACGTCTTCACATTTTATTGAAGCCATTGTATAAATTTAGAAAATCCTTTAGTTTTCGACCACATCTTCTTTTGCTTTCTCTCTATCCGTCGCCACTTGCTTTGTTGGAATGTCATTTGATATGTTGATGCAAACACGCAACATATAGCTTCGTGAGCATGTGGGGATTATAGCTAGAAGATTCTACGAGAAATTCTTTACCATACAGTCAATTGGGTGTTTATAACTACGATGTATGAAGGCTTAACTTGGACTATACTGTTCCATAGGCTTCTACTAGGACAATACCCATCCTCGCATCACTCGCTCAATCTGATGGATCCAGACGTCGGGCTTCACGGGGGGGGGCGCTCTCCGCGAAGAGCATGCGAAACGGGTAAGTAGCGAAAGCATTGTGTCAGCAGTAACAGCAGTAAGCTACAAGGCTACCATCATTCAGCTTTCATAGACTTACGGACGGTGAGCTGCTGTATTTTCATCGAGTGCGTTCGCTGTTACTTCCAGATTGCTCAAAAAGCCGGTCTTCCATCCTCAGAGCATGTGATTGTTGCAGCAGTCGAGTCCTCGACAAGCACGCTATCTTGGCAATCAGACAATGAGTCCATACCCGGAATCACTATCAGACACAATACATAACCGGTTCCATTGATCGAGATCCTCGCGCAACAAATACCGAATGCGATCAAATCATTTTTACCCAATAAAAGTCCATGATTTGAATAATTATTCGACTCAGTCTGTCACAATCAGTCCCGATCTTTTTTGTTTTGTAAGTGCAGTGGGTGCATTTAGAATTTCTAATGACCGACGTCTGCCCACTTTGGCAGGGTCTACCAATCCCCCACTGGTAGCCCCTACTAACTATATTCCCTGGGGCCCACCCAACCAGTCCAGGGCCCCCGACTATTCGATGTCGGGGGTTTAACTTTCTCCGAGAAGCTAAGCTCAGTGCACCAGAGTTTTCTGGTAGTACAACTGAGACTTCTGTGTCACCCTTTTCTAACGACCTTGGGTTCGTCGTACAGAGGATCAACCGGCAATCATCGGATTGGAACGGCGCTATTACTTACCCAAGGCACTAGAAGGGAAATCCTCGAATAAATTAATTTTAGGAAAAAAATCAAGAAAGAAATAAAAACCACCAATCAACTTCAATTTGCAATCTTTTAGGACATCATATCGTACTTACGACGACCAGACCCCACCGACTAGACCCCCCTCTCGCGCGAGATCCCAGACAGTCAACCACAAAGGCGCGCTCTCTCTCCCGCACGTGTCGCTCTAATCTACCGTCCGTCCGTCTACATCATCCGTCCACCTACAGCTCCAATACCATCGTACTACGACTAACCGCTCTGTAATTGTTGCTGTTTCTCCTCCCGTAGATCCCGTGCACCATCGCCTTCGGTCAGTCAATTCATCTCCCCTACCCCTCTCTCGCTCGCTCGCTCTCTCATTTCCTTTTTTTTCCGCGTCAGATAAAACCTCATTGTTTGTCGTTGAAAAAACCCCACCACCAAAAGTACCACTATGAAGTGGCTCCGCTCGGCTGAAATGGAGTACATCTCGCTCATCGTCAACGAAGACGCGGCGCACGACTGCGTGCAGAAGTTGGGCGACTTGGGCGTGCTCGAGTTCACGGATTTGAACCCCGAGCTCACGCCGTTCCAGCGCCGCTACGTGAACTACGTGAAGCGCTGCGACGAGATGGAGCGCAAGCTCCGGTACTTTGACGGGGAACTGGCCAAGTTCAGCATTGCGCCCAAGTCGGCGGGCTCGATGGAGCAGTTTCTGGTCAAGTCATCGGCTGTTCGCTATGGGTCGCAGGACACGGCGGCAAGGGCGTTGGATACACTGGAGCGACTGCTGGAAGACAAGGAGCAGGAGCTGTTGCAGCTCAATTCGATGCACGAGAAGCTCACGAGGGAGTTTAATGAACGCAAGGAGCTGCAAGAGATTCTGATTCGCGTGGGCGAGTTTTTCGAGATCGAGAGTAAGTGACTGGTGTTGTGAGGGGGGTGCTTGTAGTGGCAATGCGGTGGTGGTGCTATTGCTTGCTGCTACTACTACTTTACGTGGTTGGTCAACCTTTGGGAAAGAGATTGGAAGCATACTGGTGTGGCCGATCTGACCTGACATGTGTGTTGCAAATTGGTGTTATGTAGTTCCAGAGGTACAGACAATGCGTGGCTCGAGAACTGTGTCACGGTCGGGAGGCTACAGTTTCGTTGAAGCGTCCGTTCCAGGCGAGCCGTTGGGCGAAGAAGCGTCGTCGTCGCTGCGTTTTCGTAATGTGACGGGGGTGGTGCCAGCTGATGAACGGCTCAAGTTTGAGCGCATGATCTTCCGCATGACTCGTGGCAACTGCTTTATGCGGTTTTCACCGATCGACGAGCCACTGGTCGACCCTTCTACTGGCCAACCGGTCACGAAACACGCATTTGCCATTTTTTTCCAGTCGGTTGTTATTGAAAACAAGCTTCGGAAAATTTGCGACGCGTTTCACGCGCGGCTGTACTCGCTGCCACCCATGGATGACCGTGCTGCGATCGCTCATTTGATCCAGAGCAATGCGGGGGAGCTGAATCAGAGCAGCCACATTCTGCGCCGCAACAGAGAGAGCTGTGTGCTGCTATGCCGTGACATGGGCGAGACACTCGAGTCATGGAAGTGGTCGGTGCTACAGGAAAAAGCGACGTACCACGCGCTTAATATGTTCCGTGCTGATGTAAGCGGTATGCTGCGAGCCGAGGGCTGGGTTATCAAAGAGGCTATGGCGAGTGTGCGACGTGCTGTTACGCAAGCTCACACAGCGGCTGATGACAAGTCAATGCCATCGCTTGTGGATATTGTGGACAAGCCGTGGCCAGTTCCTCCCACTTACTTTGAGACCAACAAGTTCACCGATGCCTTCCAAAACTTTGTGGAAACGTACGGTTGCCCTCGTTACCGTGAGATCAATCCATCCGTTTTCACTGCTGTGACATTTCCGTTCCTGTTTGGCGTAATGTACGGTGACATTGGTCACGGTCTATGCGTGATGCTCTTTGGACTATATTTGATCTTGACGGAGGCCCGTCTCGAGCAGCCGGGGAACATTGGCGAAATGACGGCATCAATTTATGGAGGACGCTACATGTTGTTTATGATGGGTGCTTTTGCCATTTATGCTGGCGTCATTTACAACGATTTCTTCTCGCTGCCGTTGAACTTGTTCGGTTCCAAGTTCGCGTATCCAAATTGCCTCGATTCTCACGATCGCGAGGTAAAATGCGTGGCTGAGTATATGAAGGACGGCAAAATGACATACGTAAACTCTACGGATGTCTCAGGCGGCGACAACGTGTATACAATTGGATTGGATCCGATTTGGAAAACGTCTTCGAACGAGCTGTTATTTTTCAACTCGTTCAAGATGAAGATTTCGGTGATTTTCGGCATCGTCCAGATGACGTTCGGCATCATTCTCAAAGGCTGGAACAATCTGTACTTTCGCGATTACTTGACCTTCTTCTTCGAGTTCGTGCCCCAGATCATTTTTGCTGTTTCGCTCTTCTGCTACATGATCGTGCTTATTGTCATGAAGTGGAGCATTGACTGGACCGCTCGCATGAAGCACGAGGTGTGCCCGTACAACTTTGCCGGTGAACACACTGGCTGCCGTCCGCCCTCACTAGTGAACACTCTTATTAACATTGCGCTGGCACCTGGAAGCGTTGTGGATCCGCTGTACGAAGGCCAGCTTGAGACCCAGCAGACGTTGCTGATGATGGCACTCTTGTCTGTTCCGGCGATGTTGTTTATCAAGCCAATTTACTTGAAGATCCAGAACGACCGCAAAGCGCCACCTGTGAGCCATCACGTGGACTTTGACGACGAGGCCGAGAGTCGTGTGGTCTCACACCACCACGGCAACTCGGGCAGTGATCATGGCAAGAATTTTGAGTTTGGCGAAGTGGTTATCCATCAAGGAATTGAAACCATCGAGTTTGTGCTAGGCATGGTCTCAAACACGGCTTCTTACCTGCGTTTGTGGGCCTTGAGTCTGGCTCATTCTGAACTGGCCACAGTGTTCTGGGAGAAGACGATGTTGTCTACCATCAACAGCGACTCGTTTATCGCCATTTTCATCGGCTTTGCCGTGTTTGCAGCCACCACCTTCGGTGTGATTCTTGCTATGGATGTACTCGAGTGCTTCTTGCACGCATTGCGTCTGCACTGGGTGGAATTCCAGAACAAATTCTACAAGGCCGACGGCCACAAGTTCCACCCTTTTTCGTTCAAACAGACGATCAAGAATTCGCAGCAGCTTTAACTGCTACGATAGTAGAGTTGGTCAGCAAGAAGCTAATGCGAACCCTTTGAACATCGACACGCAGACAAATGGCTATAAAAAATAAACAGATTCGGACTACGACGATAAGGATTTGAATCGGTGGCACAGGTTCGCGGCCGTGTGTATTCGAAAAAGGACTTGCTGGTCCTTGCAATTGGTCGCGCTGGATCATGCCTTAGCTCTTCCCCTTTCTTCGACTCTTCTCGTCACTTGGAAGTCTTGGTCGCTTTTTTCTCCATTTCACTGCAGGCATCAGACAAAAAACACAGCACATCTCACAACTCGTGAGGGCTCAAGTCCGCTCCAAGTCGCACTCGAATCGAAGCTACAGCAACGTCCGTACATTTGCTGGTATTGTTTGCGCAAGTTGCTACTGGCACTCAAGTCTTTCACTCGTTCGAGTGCCATGCTATCTGCATAAAGAAACCCTGCCCCTCCACCAATCACGACTCCCCCTGCAATCGCGAAGAATTGAACGCGTCGCGGGAATGGGCCAAACGCTTGACTCGAGTAAGTTGACAGGCAGGAAAACAAGTCAGAATGAAGCAAAACGAAGGCTAAACAACCAGTCAAAGGGCATGTACTGATAACGGCGGTGGCGACTGCGGCGCCCAGAGCGCCACCAACACTTGAGCAGTACTTAATGTCATTGCGTCGTCGGTCGAACCACACTTTCTCTTCCAGCGTCAGACGTTGCGGGCTGCGTGAGCTATCGGCGTCGGTATCCAGGGCCGAGCTCATAATCGGTGCTACTTTGAGTGTGTTTGCGAGTACTTGTTACGTGCTCCGCTCCAATCAGAGCCCCGGCGCACTAAAAGGAGCCATTTTCCTCAAACATCATCCCTCTGAGCTACATTTTCGAATCAGAGCTAATTAACTGCGGACGCCGCGAGTTGGATACAAATCCTTTCTTTGGCTACATTAAAACCAAAAACCAAAAACCAAAAACCAAAACACAAAGCGACTTGAAACGTCATGACTGACTTGAGTCTTGACCTTACGGGAATCAGACGCCCTGCTCTCTATGGACAAAAGTTGTGTCAGTAGTGAATGTAAAGTGCTTCACGGGCATTCGTGCTCTTGGAATGGACCCAAAGCCCGGATGCCGTTTCAGCCCCACGGACGACATTGGAGTCTGCGGGGTGCGCGATTCACCCGCAGTTGGCGTGACCATTGCGCTTGACGGCTGCGGTAGTACCTGTAGCATGTTGGTCGAGTAGACATCCATGAGAAAGTCCATGGATTCGTCAAAGTCCGGCACGAACTGCTTGGTCTCCGCTCTGTTGATCGTCCATGATGATGACAGCTGGGAGCTGGTAGTTTCTTTGCCAAGGTAGGCACTCGAGGGTGCAGCTGTGGTTCGATAGCGAAACTCGGAGCTCGTTTCAGTTCGTGAGACGGGCGTCGTCGCAGAGACATTAGGAGAATAGTGGTACGGGAGACAGGAGCTGCGAAAAGGCATGGCTGGCAATGACATGGTCCTTGCAAGCGGCATCGTTGCGACACTTGGCTCCATGGCCTGAGAGTAGTAGGTCGTAGCGGAATAGGCGCGTGTGTGGACATGCGCAGGAAAAGACGAACCCACACCGTGCGGGAAAGAGTCGACCCCGCGTGTCGTCAGAGATGTTTGCAAGGTACCGTTCCGGTTCCGGAGACCGCGCACGCGGCGCGCCTGTTTCTCCCGGTACTTCTGAGCGTGCGTCTGGGTTTGACGCACCGTGCGAGTAGCCACCATCTCAGCAATAGCCTTCCACGGACCTTTTGGATAGACCTCCATTGCCTGTAAAAAGCGCTCGTGTTCGTCCTTTGTCCAGAGTCCCAGTGCCTTGACAACTTCTCCATTGGCGTCCAGCTGCTGCTGCTCTCGATCTAAAGACTCGGCGACGCGCAAGACGCCGTCTTTGACAATCAAAAGGTTTTTACGATCCAGCTCGACGATGGGCGAAGCTGAGAGGCGAAAATCATCACCACTGACAGTCCTGGTCGCAGACTCGACAGCGTTGCCAAGAACCCCATTGTCCTCATTTCCGCTGCTGCAGAACGCGGACGTGATGACACGCGCCTGGGGTCGCTCCGTCATTCCGTAGCAAGAGAGGTCCGAATGTCCGGCTAAGCTGCTTCCTGTTGTGAACTGTAGTCGACAAGTCTGAAGTAGTCAAGTTTCAGAATGAACAACTCGGTGCGCAAGCTCCTCTCCGCTCTGTTTTCGCACACCTCCTTTCTCGCGTGTCTGGTCGCAAGAAAGGCACAAACGCTGCAGGAGACAGATGTGATACTATCGACGAGAGCGCTAAACCGGATGCCCTGCATGCGTGCGTGATTGATTGACTGACTCAAGTGCTGCATATGGCATTACAGGCACGTTGCACTGTATCTACTACTAAGGTGGACCGAATAGCAGCGGTTGGTGTGCTCGACGATTCGCAGAGTGCACGTATTGACTACCTGTCTGTGCCGCCCAGAGTGATACACTGAAATTCAAAGCCAGCCTTGTCCAGTTAGTAAGAACGGGGAATAGTTCGAAGCCAGGTACACTTTAGCAGTAGTATCGCTGGTACGGTTGTTCCTTTCGACCTCTACTGGAGAGGCCGAGCCAGAAGATGTCGACTGAGAACGTAGTACTATTCCATTGCCAGGATCTCATGACAATGAGCGTATGGATTGCTGCTTTTTAGTGCGTAGAACGTCTACCAGTCACACGGCAAGTTTGCACGTCAAAGTGAGCAACATGTACTAGACGAGACCTGACTAACATGCTTCCAGGCTATTTTCAAGTCCGTGCGATTCCACATCCGACTTTCATCAAGAAAACATGACGTGTAGGCTGTTACCAATTCGTAGCAGAGCGACAGCTACGTGCGACGAGAAGCGCAGTCTCTGCTGTGTCGTAGGCGTAAAGCAAAGCATTGCGTGTGGTTCTATATCCAGCGTTGTCGAACGATAACTAGCTGCTGCTTATTCCAGCCGGGAATTCCCTCTCTCTTTTCCTGAACTTGTTGAACAGCTGGAGTAAAGTGCAGTGATCCATACATTTCTATCACAAGGTCCTGATGAAAAGGCTTGCTGGACATGCAAATGTTTCTCGCTGTCCTTGCATAAAAGCTTGTCAACTGCTGCTGGCATGTGCTTCAAAATGGTAGACTTTTACAGACTACACATCCTTTCGACTATCCAAAATAAAGTTAATACATCGTCGAAAAAGACTGAGACTGAGCAACGTCGTGTCTACTTAGCTGCTGTGCTCGAGCGTAGGAAAAGCGTGGCAGCTCAATCCTAAATGTGCTCTTTGATATGGGCCATCTTTATCGTTTTAGACATCGACGCACCCTCAGTCATTGTTCAGACACTTGCCATGAAGACTCCCGTGGGTGAACAAGTTTGACCACCGGATGATCCCCCTCTCATATTGCAAAACCTCTACGTCCTGAAGCGCTTCTGCCGACCACAGCTTTTGACCAGTTTTTTGCCATGTCGATCACCTCCTACGTCGAGCTGTGCCACAGAGACATTTGGACGCGCTTATTTCTTGATAGGGGGGACAGCACACAAGAGCACAGATACGACTGAGTTGCCGGAGCGATTCGTAAAGAGGTTCTTTCTAGGAGGGGCGGACGTGAAAGCGGCTGCTTAGTGCATTACATCACACTAAGCGAATGTTTTCAAGCTACATGAATTTACTAAGTGACGATATGCTTTGGCTGTACTTTCCCACACGCGCCCGAAGCGTTGAATAGCTTCCTTCGGCCGTCTTTCCCTCATGCATTAAAGAGGTTGTTGTAGGGGAAGTTGTATCTCAACGACACGTTGACAAAGCGTAAACAACATTAATTTTAGCCACGAAAGTATTCATGTCAAATTGCTTCTGCTGCGCAACCAGAGAGATCAGCACAACAAGAGCTGATTGGGGTATTCAGTGTTTAAAGTACTGACACAGCGAAATGAGTAAATGTGGACGATATCCCGCATTGACATTGCTACTTTTATGCTTAACGTGCCACTTTCTAGCCACCTAAACGTGTTTTACTTCAGGGATATAATCCACTCACAAACAAGCGCATTCTCAGCGATCATATTGTGCGACTTCCTTTTGCTGTTCAACAATAGCGTCCGATTCAAGTGCGTCACCGGCCTCATGAATGTTTTGTCATGTTCGCGAGCATTGCCGATTTCCCGGGGTCCTGTGCACCTTTGGACGATTTTCGGTGCGCTCGTCCAAGTGATGATCTACCTCGAGTCTGTAGTAATCTCCAGGTTCCGTGGCAAAGTCACGATTAGCCTGCAACACGTGGCATTGTTTGCTTTCGGCGGACGCAAGCCAAAGTCCGAACGCCAATGTGCCTAGGCTGGGAGCTTGCAAACCTCCGTGTCACTATTCGGCTCTCGTATCTTGCGAGAAAAGTCCGAACTATCAGAAATACCTCGGGCGCAAAAAATCGAAGTCCCTGCTTTAAACATGGCCGAGTCCACTTCTACTAAAGGACGTGCTTCATCGTTACTTGCCAAAAAAAACTCTCAGCCGAGTGTGAGGCGCGATGATGGCATATCCGTCCGTCCAGAAACACTAGATGATTGCCGTTCATCAAGGTACGCTGCGTCAGCAAAGTAGATGGAATCTTCAGGTTCGAGCATATCCCTATGACATTTACCCTTTGTCTTGAAGGCGTCACATTTGGAACAATGATGCAACACTTTGTCATCATTGAAGTCAAATGTTATTCAAGCATCCCTTCATCTACTTAAATCATAACAGTGCTGCAACGGCTGCATACTGGGAACAGCTGCATACAATAATAGCAGTGCTGCGACAGCTACAATGTACTTTATAAGATAGGGGAGCGAGCTCTGGAGGTGGCCTTTTGATTGGAAGTAGTTCAGCCCAGAGAACTGGACCAAGTTACGAAAATTCACAATCAGTTTCGGGTGCTAAGCGACTAAGAAATGGATTGTGCTTTGTGCGTATAAAATTTAAAATACTGATAGATCGTTGTGTTCTAGCTACTCGTTAATGTTTGTTATCATTTTAAAGCCACGAATATGAGAGAAGAGAGACGGAAGGATGATCCAGCTCGGTAACGCCGTCAACAACAAAGTCGGGCTGACGACATACAATTGAATTACGAAAACGAGAAATTAAAATCCAGGGAACTTCCTCTGCCACCGAGAAGGAAATGACCATAACTTCCCACCTTTTCAATCAATCAAGTACTTAGAATAAAAATAAAATCACGTTTCCTGTTCGACCCAAGGGCAGAATTTTCGCTCCCTTGAAGCTTCAAGCATTTGCTTGTGAGCCTTCTGTCCGCCCTTGGTCGCTTAGAGCCAATCTGTGCGGGCATTGGGGCATGCGTGTAACTTAAAATCTCTACACGAACGCAATCAGGGAACGTGTCAAATAGTGACTCCTCTAATGCACATCTATCTTCGTTCGAGGAGGGAACGAGCTACGTCGCACTTAGTACGGCATGTACGGTATATCTTGGTTATTTGCAGACAAACTGACAAAGTGACAGATAGACGACAGAGAGGCAGACAGACAGACAGAGAGACAGACAGAAGATCTTAGAAGTTCGGCATGCATCTTGCGCATAGTCGCTAAAAACTTCACCATTCAGGGTCTTAATAATTGTGTGTCGAGCAGCCCGGTATTTGCAGTCCACTACTTCATGCAAATCATCTCTCCTCAACCTGTTCCACGGTGTAATGACCCCAATAGTTATGTAGTTGTCAAAGTGCGAGCATAAGGAAATTGACGAAACGCCGCACTCTGATAATGAAGAACATATGTGAAGGCTACAAATTTGGACAAATTACCGCCTGATCTGATTAACTTGTGTCCTCATCAACCACCCTGAGATGCTGTCGGCTACCACGAGAGGACATCAAGTTTAGGTGCTTTTTAAGAAGCAAATGCCAACCGCACGGTTGTAATTAACGTCATGATCATGCAACATTGCGAAGAGTACTGTTGCGAAATTGTGGCACATTAAAATTTGCGGTGCATGAGCTAGGTATGTCACGATACGCTATGAAGCGTTTCATGGCTGCTTGACATGCGGAGGAAACTTGCACTACCAAGATGCCGCGCCTGACAATACATATAATCTTTTGTATTCTCATGGTTATGCTCCCGCTGTTAATGCTTTGCCAACGTCGATGAATCATTCCAGCAGCGTGCCAAGGAGATGCTTGGGGCCTATACCGTACTTTTGGGTTAAAAACGCGGGCGTGTAATCGCACGTCCGACTAGATGCGTGCGAAGTGCTTCGAGAGACCCATGATGCAAACATTGTATCATACATTCTTGCTAGCTGACGGATACATGAGTCTGCCACGACCGCCATACGAATAACCGGTCACCAATCGTACGGTCAATTTGTACGCTTTTGTCAAATCGAGTGACTACAGAGTAGAGCTTCATGACGGTGAGCTGTCATAGCTGAGAGCCTTATAACACGAGTGTCTCTAAATAACCGACACGAATGGCCGAAAACACCTACTTGCCGCCTAGACTATCCGTTTGACTTATATAAACTGTGTCGACAAATGCCTGGTGAACGTACACAACTTGACAAGATAGCGTCCACTGCTCATCCACGCCGTGTCTGGTGTGTCTACGCAACATAGTTCGTCGACTGGACCTTATGCACAACTATCAGGGATACACATATACTCTGGAATGATGAATGACGCCGTATATATTCTGCCGTAGGCAAACGATAGCTAACTGCTGTTACCCATCCAGCTAGTGGCCTTCGCGCCTGACTGGGTGGCGACTTTGACCAAATCCCAAATTTAAAATGGGTACAGCGCATACTGAATTCCATTTTACGTAATCACATTAGTGCACATTCCCGTGACGCAGCTCCAGATTGATGCATCTAGATAATTGTGACATCCGTATGGTCTCCTTCTCGTGATACGTGCCACGCCGCCGGTACTGCCGACAACATTATCTTGTTATATGTCGGCGGTGGCGAGCGTCGCATTTGTTGTGACAAAGCATCAACCAGGCTTTATCTTCTGGTACGTTCTTGTCACAGATGATCGCGAGCTCGTACAAACAGCCAACCTTTTTTGTTCCGCAGTCTCGCAAGGGCATCGGCCATCCGTGCAAATTTATTGTAGTGTTTTCTTGCGAGCGAAAGAGAATAATGCGTTTGATAGCGAGAGATATTGTAGCGATATTGATAATGCAGGAGAAAAACTTGGCACACGGCGCCTTTACGAATGGCCCTACTGGGAGGGGGTCTTTACATCGCCCTGATAGAGTGAGCCGGAAGGAGTGGCAGTATCAGTAGTGGATTCGTAAATGCATACAAGCTATTAGTGGCGGCTTCAAGATCACTGGAGATGGACGCAGGAGCAACGGAAGGAACAACATCGTGAGCAGCACTATTATACGTGAAGATTAGACGGCTCGTCATTATGTAGACGTTCAAACGTAAAAGGGGGGGGGCTGACTGAGGCTCAGCAGTGGACGCTCTCTTGTAATATTGTGGATGCGCTCTTAGCATTTATTTTCATAGTATATATCAGCTAAATGGATAGCCTATGAAGCATGTATGTCGAGTTACCCGATTCTACGTGAGACACCCACGATACTTGGGAGTAGCGAAAACTCGCACCTCCAGCAAACAGTCAATGTAAAGTGGTTTTCATCCGTAGTACTCAATAAACTGAAAAGGTAAGAATCCGTAGTCACCTTCGTCTCTCCGTCATGGACGAAGCTATCTCAATTTAGTCTCTCTTTTTTACTAACCAAGAACATGTCGTCGGCCGCACTGTCTTGTTGATGGCGCGGCCGAGCAGGATCATCCCATCACTCCCCTGTCTCCTTTTCTCATTTCTTTCACACATCAACAGCATCAACGATTAGCATCAACTTACAACAATCCATCACCACCAATTTGTATGCATATAGCGCCCACCCTAATTTTCTAGCTGCCAACCACCAGACTGGGGGAAGTGAATTTCCATAACTTGGTTCAGTTTGCTGGACTGAATTACTTTATCAAGAGCTCCAGAGCTAGCCCACTTGACAGTAATGGTCGAAGTCATACGTTCTATTGGCATTCTCGCTCGCATCTTATTGGTGCCAGTCCTGTTTCGCTATTTGGGGTTGGTCTCGTCGTCACAGACAGCGGATGTTGACACGATTGTATTTAAATTTCCATGCTCCCGGCAAGAATGATCTACACTTGGACACCTACGTTAACCTCTGGGCAGAGCTGTATGCGATAACGTAACACACCAAGCATATCGGTGACCTTGAGCGAAATGGAGCTAGATGACATCGTGTACGCTCACGGATAAAGGTCTGCTAACTTCGCAATGAGACGTACATCTGAATGGCGCCACTCAGCCATGATAGACTTTTTAATGCCGTGCACTTGTACCTTTCGAGAACGACGCATTTTCTAATGCGCAAGAAACAAACGTGCGCTAGCTGCTATACTCACGTAGGTCTTTCCGAACTGAGTGAGAAGTTGTCCATCAGGAAAAAAGACCGTTTAGTACGTTGGTCGAAAAGTGTACGACTCAATCTTTTTTTTATAATCAAGTATCGTTTGTTGTCACTTCAAACAGTATGACGTATCTACTGCATCGCATGTCGACCCGCCATTGTAAAGTGCATCAAGTATTGAGGTCGGGATGTAGCTGTAAGCGCGTGCAGTTCTTCACGGAAAGCCTTGCACGACAAGACAAAGATACAATTCCTAGCTAGCACTTCTCCAGACGGTAGTCATCAGGAACCGGATATAATCAGCTTGCCACGCGCGGTTGGCTCGCGCGACACTTGGTACTCTCGAATGGAATGTATCACCCGTCGGGATGTTTGCAAACCGGTTGGCAGTATATTCTGTCGCTCCTGGCAAACTGGACGAACGTCTTTGCTGGTCTTGCAGCTCAGCTTGCAAGCCTTTTTGCTGCTTCTACGTGGCACAGTCGATAGTTTTTAACAAGCGACAACTCCTGCTCTATGCGACAGAGCGACACCAGCAACTCGACGACCAATCGATTTCCGAGCGAGCAGCTGTATTGGATCAGTGCCGGGACATTGGATGTGTGTAATCGTCGACGCTGGCGTTGCGGTGGCCACGACAACACGATTGGAAGTCTCAATGTGGATAGAACCACACTTCAAGTAATAAAGGCACCGTCAGCGTCTGATCGGTCGCCACAACAAGATCACAATTCGTGCTGTGCAAACCACAATAGGTGGCTCCTGACGATTCGACGGCGCAGTCGATTGCCCTAGAGTGTTCTCATTCCAACATTCACCAAGTCACTGCCACGACCAACAACTGCTACGACCAACACCTGCACTACCCACCATGCGCGTCTACTGCTTCGCTCTCCTGCATGCTGCCGCTCTGGCCGTCATGGCTACCAAGTTGTTGGAAACATGCCACCCGAATGTCCACTTGGCCCCCCTCCGTGACGTCGCCGGCCACCGCAACAACGTCTCAGTCAATTGAGCGCTGAGGCGCAGGCAGCTCCCGATGATGAGGTGAGAGCGGGTGATTCTTCTGCAATCAAGTACGCAATACAAGCACTTGAAGTGCACGCTACGCTTCGCAAAGAAGGGCAGCCCTCTGGCAATCATTTCAACAATCTGATGAATGGGCTGTCTCAACGCGGACTGGTGAATGGAGTGGTGTCCAAGTTTGGCGCTGAAGAATCGGCCGAACAAGCCCTGGTAAAAAAACTGGTTGACGTGTATGGAAACCACGTGATCGGCCAGTGGATAGTGACAACGTGCCTTGCCAAAGACTTGTCATCAGGACAGGAACGCATGCGAGAGATATTGGTCAAACATTGGGTCGCAACCCCGGCTCTGCGCGACATGATCGCTTCTATTCGTGCGACCGATGATTTCCAGGATGCAGCCGGGCAAGCCCTGGTAACAAAACTGGTTGACGTGTATGGAGACAACGTGATCGGCTCGTGGTCAGTGAGACTGAGCCTTGCCAAAAAGTTGACACCAGGAGAGGAACGCATGCTAGAGATTTTGGCCAGACATTGGGTGGCAAAACAGGATCCACTAGCTATGATCACTCGGCTTCGCACGACCAAGAATTTCCAGGATACAGACTTCTATCTTCCCAAAGTCGCTAAACTTCTGCAGAATGTCAAACCTGATGTGAACGAAGCCATTTTTGCTGCCTTTGGCAGTGACGCCTATTTCATCACCAACCTGTATCGCGCCACCATGAAGAAAGAGTCGGATCTAACTGCTTGTGAAGCGGCTTGGCGGTACTATCGTGGGACGGATCCTCAGGCATTGGACGCGACATATGTCCTTCCGAACTTATACGATTTGTCTATGAAAGGAGTAAGGAAGAATTTGTTGGCCGGAGACAAACTTCCTTTCGTCCCTCTAAATGGAGAGCAAGTCGATCAGTGTTACTACTTCATGCAGGTCATTTCTAAAAACGATAAACCGGAAAGTATCGAAAGCATGCTGACCGATCCTTATGAACGTGAAGAAAAAATGAAGGAGGTCGTGGGGGCCATAACTAAAGATGGCAAACTGAAAACTTTTGAGGAACTAACAACTGAAATTTGTCAGAAGGTGGCAGACGCTGAGCGCTCAGATTACGAAGCTAATACATGTCGTTTTCATTTAATGCATCTGATCATCCTTTTCACCTAAGGGGGGGTACGACCGAGTAGTGCTGTTGATGATGTATTTGCTACGAGCCCCTGTAAGTGTATGTTAAATAGGACACAGCTTCATCATACGGCCCAGACTTCTCCTGGCCACATCTTTGTCGCACCTAGCACCCACGTCCGGTCTATTCGTTACCTTTGCTTTGGGTTGCCCGTCCCCGCGCAGCGCGACCTGCTTTCGTACCCAACTGAGTTACCCTGTGACTCAGACTTATTCAACTCGACACTTCCTTGCGGTAGCCTTCGTTCCCTACACTCCATGTCATAATGATGCAGCCGCCCACGTTGGTACCTACAGCTCCATAACTACTGCGAGTGAGACGCTGTCCTTTAAGCATGATATGCGCAAAGCTTATACATACCCATCTGCAGTGTTAAACATCCGATTGTGTGAATCCATGTCATAGCTCACATTGAAAAAAACGGTTCTTGTGCCTGGTAAAAAGTATACGGCCACACTGAGCATATAAATTTCAAGTATAAAAGAATGCTTGTTGAATGCTCAGGGTCATCATACATTCTTTTGTGCTTTAAATTTGTAAGGAGTGCGAAGCAAGTTGAAACGAACAGAGTATGCCCGGCATTCTTGACGTAATTGTCTAACATAAGGTGTTCTATGAAAATGAGAGCAGCTGAATCATGATAACGCATGATGTAGGTGTTTGTGGTTGCGCCAACAAGCGCGCACAAATACGCTCCCGTGACGTTACTTTACGCGTGATGAAGTAACGTAAATATAAGCTTTGCGCATATCATGATTAAAATGACAGCGTCTCACTCGCAGTGGTTATGATGTATATATAAGCTTTGCGCATATCGTTTATATATAAGCTTTGCGCATATCATGCTTAAGATGACAGCGTCTCACTCGCAGTAATTATAATGTTGTGAGCACCAACGTGGGTGGCCGCGTCATTATGATCTGGAGTGTGGTAGATTCATTTCTGTAACGGGGCCACATGTCCGTTATCGTATTAAGGAAAGAGGCCTCGTATATTAGATACACAATTCCAATTTTATCTGTAATAATTGATGTGGCTGATAACCTCAGTCATCCATTATTAAATTAGGTGTACCATCCATTAACCTGTAATGGACTGAAGATTACTTTGTGGGTTAGTTTAATTCAAGTATTACGTAGTTCGATAAGGTTTATTACAGATGCAACTAAGAATACAAATTTTGTTTCTCTTTTAATCGTTTTTTGCCACGTCCCTACTTTAGATGTCGGCGGGTCACAGAGTCAGAGCCATTGTAACGGGGTAGCCCGTTTCATGAGATTGGCACCAAATGATGTCAATCGGGAGATTGTCTAGCGTGAAAATTCCCTACCAATATTATCCGAGATGGATAATATTGAAGGGTTATTATATCATAAGGATAATATGCACGCGCTGTACAAAGATTAGCTGATGAAGACATATCAACTAAGGTTACCACCAATCTCTGCTTGACGCGCGTAATGAGTGGTGAGGAGGTTTTCTTTATACGACAATAGAGATTGATATAGTTAGATAAAGATTCAGGTTATTTTGATAGCTTAACTATGTTAAATACAGTTCTCTTTTTACCCTTTACTCAAACTAGATGTTTGAGTAAATTAGCTTCCTCTACACGTACTAGTGTACGTGAAATTTGTGACACCTTAAATAAAGGGTGCCTAGTTACAATTGGTAGCACTCTGTTGTCCTTTTAACGAACACTTAGTGTCTGTACGACATGAACATGTTGGACGTCGAAGACGACAGCTTTCACATCACACGTGGAGGCTACTCCCATCTGAGCGACTTAGAATTAGAGATAGCCGGCCGCATGAGTAGGCTCATGGGCGAACCCGCCATCAGTGGCATGTTGGAGTCTCTAAACAGAGCGAAACAACACGCTGCTTTATACATATTCCTACAAGAGGATCTTGCTGTCGAAAGACACAAGAGAGTCTTGCGACAACAGCAAGGCTCTCATCAGTCGGTGGGCGGGCCGAAGCACATGCGTCGACCCGAAACCTCGAAGCTAGATGTCTTAAGGTAAAAGTGAATTGATAAAGATTCTCTTTTGATTTGGTTCGTCGAGTTGCACGATGCCATCAGGACCCGTCACGTAGAGGGTGAGGAGATGCAAGTCATCTTCGCTTTGTCAAATTTGACGGGAAGAGCAAAGACTTGGGCTTTAAGCTTAAGCTTCACGATTTAAACGTGTCTGAGTCGCTAGAAATCTTGAAATCTCGGCTCAAAGAAACGTTTGAGCCGCCAAGAGCCGAGTCCAAAGCACGCTCTACACTCCTGAAGATCAAACAAGGTAAGCGTGACGTGCACGCTTGCGCACAACACCTACGCTACCTTGCGAGTAGCGTCACGGAAAACCCTATTGATGAGCACACACTCATCAACGTGTTCATTTACGGCCTTGTAGATGGACCGGTGAAGACCTATATGTTCCAATAGAACTTCCATGCGCTGGAAAAGGCGATAGCGTATGAGGAACAAAAAGATTTCAGCTTAAGCAAATCTCAGGCAAACTTGTTAAACTATCGTCCGACAAGACGACAGGAAACAGGAGCTTTCGAACCAATTGACCTCTGTTACATCGAGAGCAAGAACTCTCGCTCTCTGAGTCACAAGCGAACGGCAAGATGCCATCGCTGTCAGAAGATTGGACACTACGCTCATGAGTGTAGTGTTCCGAGCACCGCAACACGTCCAAAGACAGGACGTGATGACCGCCGTTGGCCAAGGAAAGTTCCAGGGCGCGGGTCCGACCATGTCGCTAAACTGCTACAGCAAGTCGGATTGCCAAAAAACGGTCAGTGTCAGTAGGGGCGGAGCACCCTGCTGATGTAGCAACGTCAAGAGAATTTGCAGGACTCTTGACGAAAATATGCTCCCAACACACAGTCGCTGTGTGTTACTACCCCTGGTGATGAGGATTCTCTCATCACTTTGAAGATTAAAGTGACAAGTGGAATGTCACGTCGCGCCCTAGTTGACTGTGAGGCGTCGAACAGTTTCATTCGACGTCAGTGGGGGATAGTAGGCTGAACTATGTTGAGCGAGAGTTCCCTCCAACGAGGATGACGGTGTGCCTTGCTACAGGCGCATCTGTAACAGTGAACAAAAGTGTAGTGAGAATCCACTACACGCTAGAAGGAAAGCAGTACGATGATGACTTCATCGTACTAGATTTGTATGAAAAATTTGATGTCATCCTCGGTCTGCCATGGCTTAGAAAGTACCAGCCATGGGTTAGCTAGCAGAATTGATCCGTGAAGATGCCTGCCGTTTGTTCATCGGATGGCCATTTGATGAACGTCTTAGAGCGTCCACAAGCGTGTGGATGTACTACGAGTGGGGTACGATTGTTAGTAAGATTGCACAAGATCACAGTTTAGAAGGCCACTGCACTGTGGAACCAGCTTCCGGCACCTGTATAGAGACACAGGCTGCGCCGATGGTTGACCACTCAAAGAGATCGAGTGGACTGGAACACGGATGCACACCAAGAAGGCTGCGTCCGAGAAGAAAGATTAGTGTTGTTCAGGATGAACAACACGTTGAAGCGAGGTCGACTAACAAAGAGTCGACCGTAGAGAAAACACGATTAACTAAAAGAGAGTCGATCCAAAAGGACATGACTGGGGTAATACATCCACAGTCAGCACACGTAACGGAAGAAAATTCCAGCGTTCCTGAGAGTGATAAATCCCTAGATAGTCATGTTGAGGGTGTGGATCCGAAACCACCTGTGGATGTGTTTTCCAAGAAATCACCGAGACAGTGAATGTATTGGTGAATGACGGATCACGTGTCGGCGCTTATACACTTGATCTGGTTACACCCCCGAAGTCAGCTTCGGAGGAAGTCAAGTTGCCAACGCTAGAATCTAAAAGATTCTTGCGAGATCTGTATAGTGACAAGATCAAGCAGATCTGCGTGCTCGCCACAGAGGACGAGTACATCGCCGATATTCGGTTGGCAAAAGTGTTTGCTGAGAACGAACGGGTTCTTAGCAACTCATCGATGGATGATAGTGTCCTCGGTGAGAAGACTCGGGCTAAGTGATACACGTCTTAGTCTTGGGAGTCTTTGAAGACCAATCCTATGTATAAGGATTTGGTGGAATTCAGGGTTGTTTTCCCAGAATCCGTGCCATTCGATCTGCCAAAGGACAAAAGCACTCGGCATGAGATCGAGCTGAAACCTGGTTCGAAATACTGTGTCATGAAGCAGTGGCCACTACCTCGTGAATAGGTAACAGCGATCGAAAATTTTTTTGCCGATCGTTTAGCGGCTGGTCATGTAAAAGAATCAACACCCCCACACAGCTCTCCGAGCTTCTGTGTGCGAAAGGAAACAGGAGTGTGGCGGATGTTGCACGCGTTCAACAAACTGAAGGATGCAACGGTACCGGCTAAAACTCCGATCCCAAGAAAGGACGTCATCATAGATGGTATGGCAAAGAGTACCATCTTTTCGAGTATGGAATCGATGGATGGATTCTATCAGATCCTCATGCGTAAACGGGATACCCCTTACACAGCAGTGAGCACCCCCATCGGTATGCTCTGGGAGTGGCTAGTGATGCCACAGGGGCTAAGTCACGCCACCGCATCGTTTAACAGATGTGGTACAGATCTGTTGCGATCGGTGCGATTTTGCACCGACTTACTTCGACCATGTATTCGTCCATAGCCGGGCTATGGATGGAAAGACGGACGTGGAGTTTCATAGAATCTTCGTCCGGAAGGTTCTTACTCTAATGCGAGAGCATAAGCTGTTCGCGAACCTCAAGAAGTGTATATTCGCAGCGAACTAAATACCACTTCTTAGCTGCATCATGGGTTAAAGCGGTGTACGCCCTAAACCGGAAACGACCAAGGAGATTAGCGACTGGTCTGTGCCAGTCGATGTCAAGGTACTTCGAAATTTCCTTGGCTTGCCAGCGTAATGAAACAAGTATTCGCGCAACTACGCCGAGATGACCGTACATCTCGCTCGTCTGATAGAGCAAAACGTGAGTTGGTCATGGACTGCTGAGTGTCAGCACTCCTTCGAATGTATCAAGCTTTGCTTGATACAATCGCCTGTTTTGGCAATTGCAGACCAGGACAGACCATTCCATGTGGTCTGTGACGCCAGCGATTTTTCAATCGGCTGCGCGTAAATGCAGTACCACTCAGACGGCGTTGAGCGCGTCGTCTGATATCAATCGCGTCAGCTGCAAGCATCTGAGAGAAATTACCCAGTGCATGACAAGGAACTCTTTGCCATGAAATATGCACTGGCGACGTTCGGGTATATCTATTAGAAGATAGGCCCTTCATCGTTTGTACCGAACATGCGTCGTTACGCACGGCCGTAAACAGTCCACACCTCTCGCAACGAATGGCGAGGTGGCTGTCTTTCCTTGCGTAGTACAACTTCTCCGTCGAGTATAAGCCGGGACGACTTAATGTCGTCGCTAATGCTCTTTCGCGTCGGCCCGATTTGGAGCCGACATGCTCAACTCAACAGTAGGGGTGATCTTATTATTGCAACGCTATCAGTGATTGTCCCGCCGTCGAATCTGCTTGGCGACGTGCGGAAAGCATACGCAGAAGATGATTCTTTTCTGCGATTGATGGATTAAGCATATAATCCATGCAGTCAAGCTTTGAAAGCTTGACGTCTCAATACTTCTCTTCAACCGAACGGTATTCGGTTCGTGATGGACTGCTGTGCTGTACAGCAGTCAACTGCGACACACCTCGTGTCGTCGTTCCCGCTCACGATGATTTGCGATTGCGCATCACGTATGAGTGTCACGATGGTCCAATGAGTAGGCATCGCGGTATAGAAAAGACATACCTCACAAGGCTCTCTGTGAGATACTTGAGCGCAAGGGCGTTCTTCATCAGAAGAAACAGCTTACTGATGGTACGGCTTAAGCCGACCAACGTAAAACGTGGGATGCGTTCGCATCTTACGTGGCAACTCGATCGTGTATGTATTGCTTAGGCGGTGCAATACACGAAATGGGCCGATGTACTTGGGTAGTAGTTTACTGCTACCCAATTTAGTCACTACATGCTTTGGTAGATTAACCGTAGACAGTAGGACTAAGTCACCTTTATGAAATAAAAGAGTGTTTGCCCTTCCATTCTTGTCAGCGTTTTGTTTTTGCTTATCCACCGCTTCGGCGATGGAGTCTTGCACAAAACGAACTACCGTTTCACGAGCCAGTATGAACTCATCTGCTGGCTCGTTAGCTTCAGTGCGCTGTGAGTGCACTGCAGCAAGATCAACCTTTTCTTCAGTGAGGGCTTCCGCCTCTCACTATCATCTTCTTCAGTGAGGGCTTCCGCACTCTCACTGGCATCATCTTCTTCGATATCGATGTTGTCGATATCGGCATCAAACGCAATGACTTCTTCGTCAGAGCGTGATGAGCGTGAACCAAATCGGTTTTTGCTCGCGCGAGTCCCTCCCCCCTTAAACCAGAGTTACACTCTAGTAAGGTGGGTACACGCGGATGGCGCAAGCCATTCACGTAAAACGGTGTATGTGTCGTGGACGCATGCACCGAGTTGTTAATGGCAAACTCTACCATGGGCAAAAACTCACTCCAACTCTTAAAGGAGTGTACGTATCCTTGAAGTATCTCTTCGAGGACACGATTGGCACGTTCCGTCTGACCATCTGACTCTGGATGATCAGATGTTGACATCTTCAAGCGCGTTCCGAGTGATTTGAACACGGAGCGCCAGAAATCAGCAGTGAAGCGTGGATCTCTGTCTGATACGAGTTCACGGGGCAACCCATGAAGTCGGAAGATGGTGTCAATAAAGACACAAGCACAGCCACTTGCCGTGATTGTCTCTGGTACAGCCACAAGGTGTACCATTTTGCTGAATCTGTCAACAAATACGAGAATACCCGTATTCCCGCGTGCGTCTTTGGGTAACCCGAAGACGAAATCCATTGAGATGGATTCCCAGCACTCAGCCGGAACCGGTAGAGGCTGTAAAGGTGCACGCAGTGAAGGACTTGACTTCACTCGTTGACGGGTTCGCATGCGCGAACATACTTTCGTACAAACTGATACTGGCGGGGCCAGTAAAAGTCTCGACTTACCGTGAGATATGTTTTCTCTCGGCCACGATGTCCTCCTATAGGAGCATCGTGATACTCGAACATGATCCGCAGACGCAGATTAGTATCATCTGGAATGACAACACGTGGTGTGTCACCAGAAACGGCTGTATAACACAGTAAACCGTTGCGAGTAGTGTATCGATCTGATGCAGATCGATACGCGGACGACAATCGTTTCAACGATTCTCGAGATGGTTGGGAGAGATGTGTCAACAACTTTACAATCTCACCATCTTGGGCGTATGCCCGCCTCACATCATCATACAACGTTGTAGATGGGACTGAGGACGTCATAACCGCAACAGTGACTGTCTCACTGTTGGGTTTCGCGACTGTTTCAAAGTCGGGACGACGTGAGAGTGCATCAGCGACGACATTAAGTCGTCCTGGTTTGTACTCGACCGTAAAGTTGTATTCTGCAAAGAATGACAACCACCGCGCCATTCGTTGTGAGAGGTGCGGGCTGTTCACTGCCGTGCGTAATGACGCATGGTCAGTGTACACAATGAAGGGTCTATCTCCTAATAGATAGACTCTGAACTCCGCGAGTGCATACTTTATGGCAAGGAGTTCCTTGTCATGCACTGGATAGTTCCGCTCAGCTGGTTGCAGCTGACGCGACTGATAGCAGACGACGCGCTCAGCGCCTCGAGTCGTACTGCATTAATGCACAGCCGATTGCGAAATCGCTGGCATCACAGACCACATGAAATGGCCTGTCCTGATCGGCTATTGCTAGGACTGGGGATTGTATCAAGCTCTGCTTGATACCCTCAAAGGAGCGCTGACATTCAGCGTTCCATAACCACCTCTCGTTCTTTTTCAACAAACGAGAGAGGTGCACAGTCATTTCGGCGTAATTGCGTGAATACTTATGCAAATACGCCGCTAGCCCAAGGAATTTTCGAAGACCTTTGACATCCACCGGCACGGGCCAGTCGGTGATCGCCTTGATCTTTTCGGGATCAGGACGTACTCCGTTCTTACCAACGATGCACCCAAGAAGTGGTATTTCGCTTGCTGCAAATATACACTTCTGGAGGTTTGCATACAATTGATGCTTTCGCATGATTGTAAGAACCTGTCGGACGTGGTACCTGTGAACCTCAACGTCCGACTTTCCATTCATAGCCCGACTAAGAATGAAAACGTCATCGAAATAACTCGGTGCGAATTCTCGTACTGGTCTCAACGGATGTGATACACATCCGTTGAACGTGTCAGGGGCATTATTTAGCCCTTGAGGCATTACTAGTCATTCCCAGAGGGGGGGGGGCCCGGGGCGCCCCCGGACCCCCCGGGGGGGGGCGGGGGGACTGCCTGATTTGGATTACCCCCCCCCCCCCCCCCCCCCCCCCCCCCCCCCGGGGGGGTTTTTGGGGGGGGGGCGCCCCCCGCCCCCCCCCCCCCCTTGTGGGTGTTTTCCTTTTTTTTTTTTTCCCCTCCCCCCCCCCCCCTTACCCCCCCCCCCGGGTATCGACCCAGGTACCTCCCCCCCCCCCTTCCAGTGGTCTCCCCCCCGCCCCCGGGGGTCGGTCTAGCCATTCCCAGAGCATGCCGCTAGGCGTGCTCACTGCGGTATAGGGTATGTCCCTTTCTCGCATAATGATTTGATAGAAGCCATTCATCAAATCCGTGGACGTAAAGATGGTACTCTTTGATATACCATCAATGATTACGTCCTTCCTTGGTATCGGCGTCTGAGCCGGTACCGTTATGGAATTCAACTTGTTAAATGCATGCACAATCCGCCACCCTCCTGTTGCTTTTCGCACATATAATGTAGCGGAGCTACACAGCTCCTTAAGTCAGAGGAAGACTTAACACTCTACGAGCAACTTAGTTCCAAAGAACTAATGACTTTACGAGTCAACAAGCTTTACAGCTTCATATCCCTGTTCCAGGGGGGCCTAACGATTCAGTGAATCGACAGCACTCAGTGCTCAAGGGTAGCTACCTTGAGGAGGTGTCGCTAGCTCTTAGTGATCAGTGATCAACGATCAAGACGGCTCGCAAGCCACGTGTCCTTCCGATCAAAATGGGAACTGATTTTAATTTTGTTAAGGCCTATAGAATATCTTAATCCTACTCAAAGATCTTTCGTACCTAATGTCTGACACTCGTCAGCCCCTACAAACCAATAAGATATTCTATATCACCTTCACAAAGGGGTAACCTCAGGTGTGTAACACCTCTGGTACAACGTACCATAATTTCGTGCAACCCCGTGACACCCTCCCCCACCAGACTGACGTTTGCCAAAACGTCAATCGAACTTGTGTTCTCAGCTAGAACAGTGCGCGTACGGTAAACCTCATGGTAACGTACGCTCCAGCACGATGTCCTCATCACCAAACGAGTCAAAGGCTCTGTGTGAATACCTCGGGATAAAGGAGGAGGTGGACTATGGTAGCGATACCAGTGTCCGCGGTGATACAGGGACAATGTCCGGCTCACTGATGCCTGAGGCACAACTTTTGAACACCCTAAATCCGTTCGCTGAACGTGGAGGTGCGAGCGCGCCACCAGCGCAGTATGCAGCGTCTGGATCTGATGAGACTATCATCACGAACCCGCTCGATGAGCAACAACAACTGCTTGTTCAAAGAGAAGAAAACGCTCAGCGTCATGTACAAATGGCTACAGCCCTTGAACGCCAGCGTGACTATGTGTTCACCCCACCCAGTGTGGAGGAACGTCTACGTCAAGCGGCCGGCCAAACATTGGCAACGTGGGTCATTGGCCATGGGCCTAAGACTCCTGAGGAGGTGGTGAGCTGCCAGGCACTTCGCGAGAGGTACCTGGAGCCGCACCTAACGATTCAAAGTCAATACAAGGCACGCCTTGACATGCAAGCGCGTGGTACACCGGTTCCACCGATCAAGGGTATACCCATTCTCTTGTTCGCAGGCGATACAGTGAGCGAAGAAGACGATGCCTTTGTTCACTGGGTGCACTATGTGCGTCGCCTCAGCAACATTTTTGCTCTAAGGGCTAGTGCCAGAGTGGCTGACGTGCGTCTTGAACGCAAGCTTCGGTATGATTATGCCAAGCTTAAGGCCAGAGGCCAATTGCGCAAGCGCACGCGCTATGCTTCGACTACTAAGGTAGCGGCGAGTGCTGGTCAGTCTGTGGCCAACAACCCGCCAACCCGCACCACGAGTGGCGGGGAACGGCCTCGGCCTCGAGATGACCATGGCCACGATGCTCAAAAGCCTATAAAGCATATGGGCAGTCTTGCCGAAGGGGTACCTCAAATTCCCATGAGTTTTCAGACTCAAGGTACCCACGCCACTTTACCAGATACTGGTATTGGCCCTGACCACGACGTCGTTTCAGTAGTCCCTCGACATGAAATTGACGACACCCATGCTCATCGAGCAAAGTCGGTGGCGGCCGATGTACCGGTGGAGGCCCACGAGAAATTGGTTCTCGAAGTGAAGGGTCTTCAAGAGGCCTTGGGTAAGTCCCAGTGCATGCTGGATGCGATGCAAAGCCGCCTTCAGACGATGGAGCAAGCTCAAACTCGGAGCGAGGCTCAGTTACACTTGCTGATTCGTCTACAGCAATCCGGGGCAGTGCCCTTGTCGTCGGCGCAAGCACCTCCAAGTTTACATGGGAAGGATCCGGGTACGGCTTAAGAAAGCCTACGTAGAACACTGGATGTGTGCGCAATTTGCGCCGGAGGTTTAGCGTATACGCAAGTCCCTTCTTGGCCGTGACTGTAAACGGTCTAATAAAGCGTGGACGCAACTTTGTTTTAAAGACAGCAGACACTACATTTGTAGGTAGATTTTTAGCATTGAGTAGTACTTGGTCTCCGACCTCATAACGTTCATTACAATTTCTGCCTTTGGCATCAGCTTGTTGTTTTTGGGTATCTTGGCTATCAGCCATTGCGTCACGCACATGTCTTAAGACATTTAATCGCGTTGCGAGAAACTCGCTTACCTGTTTTTAAACAGTAGCAGGGCTGATATCAGCAAGCCGATCGGCAACCTCTCCCCCCACCAAGCCCTGATTCACGTAGTGATAGCGTTAACGGAACGCGAGGGTGAGTGAGGCCGTTTATATAGAACGGGGTAAAGCCTGTCGAGGCATGCACCGCGTTATTTAACGCAAACTCAACCAGAGGGAGCATTGCGCTCCAACGCCTAGGCGTATCAGCGCAAATACTGCGCAAAATGTCGTTGATGACGCGATTTACGCGTTCAGTTTGACCATCGGTCTGCGGATGATCCGCTGTGGACATGTCCAGTCGAGTGCCAAGCACTTTAAAGACGGACGTCCAAAACTTACCCGTAAAACGGGGGTCTCTATCAGAGACGATTGCCACAGGCAATCCGTGTTGTCGAAACACACGATCCATAAACAGCTTTGCTGTTCCTTCTCCATCAATGGAGTCCGGCACTGCCGCTAAGTGAGCCATCTTGCTCAATCGGTCAACAAAGACCACAATCCCAGTGTTGCCTGCCGCATCACGCGGTAGGCCAAACACAAAGTCCATGCTAATGGACTCCCAACAACCAGTGGGTACTGGCAAACTAGCCAGCGGCGCCGCCGCATGTGCCGAGGGTTTAACCCGTTGACACGTTTCACACGTACGCACGTAGGTGCGCACCCACTTATAAAGTTTGGGCCACCAATAACTTTGGATTACCGAGCTATAAGTCTTCTCACGACCGAGATGACCACTTAAAGCAGTATCATGTGCCTCATAGAGGATTCGATACTTTAATTTCTCATCATGAGGTACAGCGATACGAGGCTTATCCTCAATATCCGTGCGATAGCACAACAGGCCATTATCGATGGAATATCGATGTAGCCTCGCACGTAAACGTGCCGACAATTCTGTGTTCGAGTCTTTAAACTCATCGCTCCCAAGAGCACGTAGAAAGCTACACACTGATCGTCCTTGGCATACGCCGCACGAATTAAGTCAGGGACTGACGACGACAGAGTCGTAACATGAGCAAGCTCATAGTCAGGTCTACTCGATAACGCGTCAGCCAAAACATTCTGTTTTCCCGGCTTATACTTCACCTCGAAGTTATACTCCGCGAAAAACGAGAGCCAACGAGCCATTCTCTGCGAGAGGTGAGGCGACTGTGTCGCTGTGCGTAATGACGCATGATCTGTATAGATCACAAACGGCTTAAAGCCAAGCAGATGAACTCTGAATTTAACAAGAGCGTACTTCATCGCAAGTAGCTCCTTGTCATGAACTGGATAGTTCTTCTCTGCAGCTTTCAGCTGGCGAGACTCAAACGCGATGACGCGTTCTCGACCCTCAGAGTCGACTTGCAAAAGAGCACTGCCAATGGCAAAGTCCGAAGCGTCACATACGACGCTAAACGGGCGATCAGGATCAGGCAAAGCCAGAATTGGCGCCTGAAGGAGACTCTCCTTAATGGCTTCAAAAGCCTCGTGGTGCTCGGTGTTCCAACACCATTCCACATCCTTTTTAAGGAGATTCGACAATGGCCTAGCCACTTCCGCATAGTTGTGGCTATACTTATGCAAGTAATTTGCAAGGCCAAGCCACTTGCGTAGGTCCTTTTGGTTCCTCGGAACCGGCCAATCCACTATGGCTTTGACCTTAACAGGGTCTGCCCGGATTCCTCGCTTCCCAATGAAGCATCCCAAAAAGGGAATCTCTTCCGCACCGAAGATGCACTTCGATGCGTTAGCATACAACTTATTCGTCCGCATACACTCGAGCACAGCTCGTAAATGATCAATGTGGTTATCCACATCTGATCGCCCATTCATTGCACGACTATGGACGAATATATCGTCAAAGTATGTTTGTGCATAGCCTCTATGGGGCCGAAACAATTGCGTTACCAGACGATTAAACGTTGCAGGTGCGTTAGATAGCCCTTGGGGCATCACTAACCACTCCCAGAGCATACCGCTCGGAGTGCTGACCGCTGTCAGCGGGATATCACTAGCTCGCATGAGCAGTTGGTAATATCCATCGACTAAGTCGAGGGCACTGTACATTGTACATCCCACCATATTGTTCTGAAGAACATCCTTGCGAGGAATTGGTGTTTGAGCCGGGATAGTGGCTGCATTCAGCTTATTGTAAGCATGCACTATTCGCCACTTCCCATTAGGCTTTTTCACACAAAACGTGGGCGTAGAGTGAGGAGACTTGCTCTCACGCACCATGCCAGCCGCGTGCTTCGCACGAAAGAACTCATCAATGACGTCACATTGTTCTTTAGGCAAAGGCCACTGCCGTGTTACACAGTATTGTGTTCCAGGAACCAAGTCAATTTCATGACGTACACCTCTATCCAGAGGTAAGGCAGAAGGTGGTTTGTGACACACCACATCTTTATTTTCCTTAACAAAAGGATAGAACGGATCCAAAGGATCTTTAAGGATCGAAGATCCACTTCGTGCACTAAGTGCCGCCTTTGTATCCTCTAGGACAGACTCATCCATTAACGAGGAAGAATTAAACTCAGTATCAGGTGTAATGACCGCTAAATCGGATAACTCTCCTGCCTTCAAGGCCTGGCTAAACTCGCCATCAGACATTTCGTCTAGCTCACAAAGAGCGTCCACGGATGGAAGGGTTTCAAGGCAAACACTGGCTATCAACCTGACCAGTCACTCCATTAACAAGTGTATATAGTGTATTACTATTATCACTTTGTGACTGTGAGGACGCCTGGCGCTTAAAAGTATCTACCCGGCGTCTCGATCGTCTCTTCGAGACCTTACACCCCTTAGAGGTCGGGACAATATTGTCCCCATGGTTACTACCAACCATAGTACGCTCTATACGAGAGCTTTGTATCGACCGACATCCGGTGAAGTGTTACATAACTCGAACATTTTACCCAGTGATTTGAAACGTGCCACTCCACGTGTATTGTGCGGGCCTAGCCATAAATTTAACGGCGCCTCGCCAATAAGGTCATTACCGACATTAGATGTGGTGCCCTCACGGCCGTCCACACTATACGGCGTATCGCCAACAGTATCATTACTGACATTAGGTGTGGTGCCCTCACGGCCGTCCACGCTATACGGCGTATCGCCAACAGTATCATTACTGACATTAGGTGTGGTGCCCTCACGGCCGCCCACACTATACGGCGTATCGCCAACAACGCCATTACCGGCGTTAAGCGTGGTGCCCTCACGGCCGTCCACACTATACGGCGTATCGCCAACAATATCATTATTGACATCAGGTGTGGTGCCCTCACGGCCGCCCACACTATATGGCGAATCGCCAACAACGCCATTACCGACGTAAAGCGTGGTGCCTTCACGGCCGCCCACACTAAATGGCGTATCGCCAAAAATGTCATTACCGACATTCAGTGCGGTGCTCTCACGGCCGACCGCACTCGGTGTAGTTTCACGTGCCACCATACACACATCAAAGGAATCACATCCTTGGTCACTCGGCCCTAGGCCAACCATGCTTTCAGCATGCAGTGACTCGTTATCACAACGAGTACCACTCAACGGAGTGCGTGCCGTTTCACTAGTTTCAGACAAGCTAGGCTCGAAACTTATGTTTGTAACATTGGAGTTAGATAACTCAGACATTCCAATATCCAGCACATAGACATCTTCTGTCAAAGGCTCGCGCCAATAGCGCTTTTGTTGCCTAGCGAATGTAGGTTCATGACTCTCCAAAGCTTCGCTAGGAACATTGCGCGTAGCGCCTAAGGTCTTGGACCTCCAATCAATCCATGGCTCACGGCGCTCAAGCCAAGCCATACCTAGGATGAGATCATATCTCGAGTCCAAATCTAGGACAAGACAGCGCACAATACTGTCAAAGTCTAAGAACGTCATCCCTAAGTTCAATGGAACTTTAGGCACAGTAACGCGACTTCCAGTCGCTAAATGGAACGTGATAGAATCACTCTCATGCGCTGTAAGCGCCTCAGAATAACTCTGACTTCCCTCAAGGGAACGGCGTCGAGCATAATTGCAAGACGCTCCAGAATCGATCAATATCGACCAAGGCTTTTCAAAGCCCTTAATTTTCGCCTCGGCGACCAACAAGCCAGACTTGTATCCACGTACCATACCTGTAGGTATGGTACTCTTTGGGGCTAAGCCCTGCATTCCTTTACCTTTTAAAGGTGTAAGAGAACATAGTTCTTCCCCAGTAGGGAGCCCCGCGCCTACTGGGTGTCAGCATTTCCACGTGCCATGCCAGACTTCTGACTCGGGGTCGACTGTTGGCTCGTAGCCTGGCGTTGCTTACGCAAAGGGCAACCAGGCCGCAAGTTTTTAGTGCTTCCGCACGTAAAGCATCGTCGTACGACGTGTTGCTGCTCAGCAGCTTGAAGCTCAGCTTCACCTCCATCTTCAGCATAGCTGAGATCCATCGGTTCCGGCCTATTATAGGCAGTGGTACCCGAATAGTTTGCTCTCACAGAGCGAGGATTGTACCCATTCCAACCAATTCTGGCCGAATTGAAGTTATGCTCAGCAATAAGAGCAATTCTCACAGCCTCTTCAAACGTAGAGGGGTAAACCCGAAAAACCTCGGTTCTGGCAATGCCAGTACGTAGACCTTCCATGAAGATAGTCATGGTTTGCTCCATGCAGAGGGTCAGACTGCATTGCAGCCATGAGCGTTCGCAGCTCTTGGACATAGTCCGATAGTTCATTCTTACCCTGGCGGGTAGAAAGAAAGCGTGAACGCACGCGGTGAGCCTGGTTAGGTGGAGAAAACACCTGTACCAATTGTGACTTGAGCGACTCCCATGTGGGAAACGCTATGTCCACCGACGTGCTACACGTCAAGGCCCATTATCTAGCTCTACCATCGAGCTTCGAGATACCCAGCGAGACCTGTTGATGGTCAAGCGTGATCAGACCTGATCTCATGGCCATCTCGATCTCACGGATCCAGAGGATGAGGTTCTCACCCTCCTTACCGGAGTAGTTTTTCACTTCCACTCTAAGTGGACGAGGCCTGGCCTCTTCGTCTGGTACAGACACATAGCGTGTAGGCATAGCCGACGCTACTCGGTATTGGACCTGCTTTAAAAGGGTCGCTTCATCCTGCATGAAGCTTTCAACACGTGCATTAAGCACTTCAGGACCTTGTGAAACAATGAACTCCACGTACTCTGGACCCAAAGATGCGGTCAGCTTATCAAGCGCGACCTTTTGGGCCTCAGATAGGGAGGTGGAGTTTTCCATCCCCACAGAGGATCAGTCTTAAAGACTCAGGCTTAGATTGACTACAAGTGCTACCAAGTGTAGCGGAGCTACACAGCTCCTTAAGTCAGAGGAAGACTTAACGCTCTACGAGCAACTTAGTTCCAAAGAACTAATGACTTTACGAGTCAACAAGCTTTACAGCTTCATATCCCTGTTCCAGGGGGGCCTAACGATTCAGTGAATCGACAGCACTCAGTGCTCAAGAGTAGCTACCTCGAGGAGGTGTCGCTAGCTCTTAGTGATCAGTGATCAACGATCAAGACGGCTCGCAAGCCACGTGTCCTTCCGATCAAAATGGGAACTGATTTTAATTTTGTTAAGGCCTATAGAATATCTTAATCCTACTCAAAGATCTTTCGTACCTAATGTCTGACACTCGTCAGCCCCTACAAACCAATAAGATATTCTATATCACCTTCACAAAGGGGTAACCTCAGGTGTGTAACACCTCTGGTACAACGTACCATAATTTCGTTCAACCCCGTTAGATATAAGGTCGGAGAGCTATGTGGGGAAGTTGATTCCCTCACATGGCCCGCAGCTAAACGATCGGCAAAGAACTTGTCGATCGCAAGTACTTGTTCACGAGGCAGTGGCCACTGCTTCATGACACAGTACTTCGAGCCTGTTTTAAGCTCGACCTCATGTTGAGTGCCTTTATCCTTGGGTAACTCGCACGGAACAGTTTCAGGGAATACATCCTTGAATTCAACCAAGTCTTCATAGAGAGGATTTGTCTTGGGCGATTCCCACGATTGGGAGTCATATCGCTCAATTCGTGTCTTTTCATCGAGGACACTCTCGTCCATCGATGAACTACTGAGAACTCTCTCGTTCTCAGTAAACATTGTTGCTGACCCTATGTCGGATACACACTCGTCGTCAGCGACGAGTACGCAGATCTGCTTGACTTTGCCACTACGCAGATCACGCAAGAACTTTTTTGTATGAGCGTTGGCAAATGAGTGATCTCCGAAGTCAACTTCGGAGGTGCAATCAGATCAAGTGTATCAGCGCCTACACTTGATCCGTCATTGACTAGGACATTCAATGTCTCTGTCATTTCCTGGGGACTTGTTCCCTCAGGCCTCGAAGGACTTATTCCTTCGGCTTCCCGGAGACTTGTTCCCTCGGGTTTCGGGGAATTTACTTCCACCGTTTCTGTAATATCGGGGCTTATTCCCTTTACTTCCTCTAGCTGGGGTTGCGCAACCACAGCGAGATCCTCTACGAAAGACTCTCCAGTCGATCTAGGATTATCGTTTCGCTTAACCTGAGCGATCGGTTGTTTCTCTTTTAGATGATCCCCGCTAGGGATACATCTTTGTCCCGGTCCACTCGACTTATTCGAGTGGTGGACCTTCGGCGCAGCCTGTGTTTCCTCACAGCCGCCGGAACTTTGCTCCGAAGTGTAACCGTTTGTTACACTAAGGTTTTGTGCAGTCGTACTAACGACCGTACCACAAGTGAGGCCATCGCACTCACTCGTAGTACATCCACACGCTTGTGGACGCTCCAAAACGTTCATCAGATGGCCATCTGATGAACAAGCGGCA